TTGTCCCATCTTTTTTTGTTTGTTTGTTTGTTTTTCAAGACAGGGTTTCTCTGTATTGTTTTGAAGGCTGTCCTGGAACTCGCTCTGTAGACCAGGCTGGCCTCGAACTCACAGAGATCCGCCTGCCTCTGCCTCCTGAGTGCTGGGATCAAAGGCGTGCGCCACCACCGCCCGGCACTTGTCCCATCTTGTCACTCCCAGAGAATAGCCAGCCCTGAGCACATAGGGACGGTGTCCAGTCCAGATTTCCCCAAGGTCCTCTGCCTCTGTAGTGCTGGTAGTACAGATGTGCACCACCATGTCTGGCTTCTGTATGTAACAAGACAACCATTATTCACCACAAAGGTATTCACCACGAAGCTCCTCCATTCACCTTCCCAAAATTTGTGCCATGCCTATCCTTCCGTCCCAGGAGCAGAGAGCCCATATTCTTCTCTGTAGCACCAATTGTTTCGCAAGGAAATGGTTTTTCTCCTTTTGTTTTTGAGGCAGGGTCTCTCCACATAGCCTTGGCTGTCCTGGAACTCACTATGTAGAACAGACTGGCCTCGAACTCACAGAGATCCACCTGCCTCTGTCTCACAGCGAGAATAGGGAGGCTTGCCACCATGCCCAGCCCTCGTGCTGGAGATTGAACTTAGGGTCCTGTACATGCCAGGCAAGCACTCTACTAACTGAGCTACACCTCCAGTTTTCTCCTTTAAAAAAAAAAAAAGATGTGTATGTGTGCCTGATTATGTGTGCCTCATGTTTATGCAGTATCCAAGCAGGCCAGAAGAGGGCAGTGGATTCCCCTGGAGCTAGAGGCACAGGCAGTTTTATACTGCCTGATGTGGGTGCTAGGAGTCAAACTCAGGTCCTCTGTAAGAGTAGCAGGTGCTTAATGGCTGGGCACCTCTTCCCGGCCTTCCTCTTCTTAATCTGTCTAATGACAACTTAATTAGTAGACCAACGAAGAACTTAGGAGGAAGGCAGAGAGAAACCATTTGTTCTCACTACAGTCTCCTTGGGGCCTGACAGTTGGCCAAGTTCTTCTTCAACACACCATCTGCCCCCAAAAGAACTTCATGGCTATTTTCTAGCCAGGAAGAAGAGAAGGAAGAGAGGTGGTTCTTGCCCTGGATCCTGGTTTTGTAACTGCCTGGTGACCTTTCTGAGCCTTGGATTCTTGGTTTTGTAAAACAGGTCAAATCACTAGATTAAGTTCACTTGGGTGCAGGAACTGGCACAGTACACAGGGACTTGACAGCCCTGCAGCCCCCACCCGTCACTCCTCACCCTCCCTCCTCTCTGTCCCCTTGGAGCTGAGCCAGCTCTAGCCCGAAAGAGAAGATTTGGGCTGTGTTGGTGGCCACTAAGTCCTTACAAAGGGCAGGCTGACAGATACTAAGTGGACTTGGACTGCCCTCCCTAAGTCGCTGGCTCCTCTCCTGCAGTCCCTCCTCCCTGGGTGACCCAGTGACCTGGGCAGCCCCCAGCAGGCTGTGGGTGGAAGCTGAGACCTGCCAGGACATGCTCAGATGCCTGCCTTAGGGCAGGCAGCTCAGACCTGCAGGAGCCAGCCAGAAGACCCGCCCCCGGAAGTCCAGGCCGCTCAGCTGGCCCACTCCTGGGCTACAGGGAGACCTGGACCAGCCAGTCCAGGAGGAGCTGCCGGTCTCAGTGGTCACAGCACTTAGTTCCAGTAGGCTTAAGGCATTCAAAGGTTTAGGGATCTGGGTTGGGGGTCTAGCCTATAAGGCAGTGTCGGCACACTCAACCCTACCTACTGAGTGCAGTCAAGGGGGCTAAGGTGGCACTGTATATACAAGGTGCATTTTCCCTATAGTGGTTTAAAAGGAAAGGAAAATATCAGCTCAGATCGTGGATTATTATGTATCATTCCTGACTACAAAGTGTGTTTCAGGCCAACCAAAGAGTACATGACACCCTGCCTTGTAAAAAGAAAAATACCAAGTTATGGTCTCTCTATGTTCATGATGACCTTCAGCTAGGACTCTAGGCTCAAGCCCTCAGCACCCCGTGGGAGGAGCTGGGAGTGCCTGTGGGTACTCCTGGTAATTTAACCTTTTTTCCTAAGAATTGAAACTAGGGCCTGGCATCCGCTAAACCCTTGTACCAAGCTGTACCCCTAGGTCCACCCTCAGCCCTCCTGGCTTGTTTCAAAACAAATTCCAGATAATAGCATTTCATCTGTAAACATCTTTTTTGTTTGTTTTGTTGTGTTGTAGTTTGAGACAGGGTTTCTCTGTGTAGCCCTGGCTGTCCTGGAACTCAACTTGAGACTAGCCTCAAAATCAGAGATCCAGCTGGAGAGATGGCTCAGAGGTTAAGAGCACTGATTGCTCTTCCAGAGGTCCTGAGTTCAATTCCCAGTACCACATGGTGGCTCACAACCATCTGTAACTAGATCAGGTGCTGTCTCTGGTATGCAGGCAGGAACACTGCATTCACAATAAATAAATAAAAACATTTGTTAAAAAAAAAATCACAGAGATCCTCCTGCCTCTGCTTCCCAAGTGCTGGCATTAAAAGCCTGCACCACCACCACCTTGATTCGTCTATAAACGTCTTAGGGAAGGCATTTAAGTTGTACTGATTATGCCTTTATTTGGGAGTTTGCTGGAAATTGAGTTCAGAGCTTTATATATATATATTAAATATGCTGACTTTCTCTTAATTTTTTTTTTAAACTTTGTGTTTTGAGACAATGTCTCACTGTAGCCCTGGCTGGCCTGGAACTTGCTATGTAGACCTGGCTGGCCTTTAATTCACAGAGATGTGCCTGTCTCTGTCTTCTGAGTGCTGGGATTAAAGTCTAGCACGCCGTTCCAGACATAAGCAAGCTTTCTCCTCCACCGGGCTACACGGCAGCCCCGAGCTTGTTTTTCTGTATGACTTCACAGGTGTGAAAGCAAAGCTGAGGACTGCAAGTGGGCAGTGTCTGGAGGTGGAACTCTCTCTGCCACCCTTGACCACTGGCAACGCAGAGGAAGGTCGGGGGGGGGGGGGGGACCGCCTTTGACAATATATTGGAAAGATGGCTAAGATGTGGAGCCCTGCCTCAGCCCCCAAAGACATGCCTTGTGGGGTTGTGGTGTCTGTCAGGGGTCTCAGGCATGTGGCCACTCATACACTTCTCTGTTCCCATCTCCACGGCCGTCTGACAGCCCAGCCCTGAGCCCAGCCCTCCATGCTCCTTTCTCCAGCAAGCACCACCTTCTCCCAACATCTGCTACTAAGACAGAAGTCTATCTGGAGCTCAGTTTTGTTCAGCTTCCCTAACCCAGTAAGTAAATAGATGTGTCTGGCACCCAGCCCATATCCTGGCTTCCTTCCCAAACCTGCAGCCAGACCATGTGACAGCCACCGCCTATCCCCAAACATTCACCAGGCCTCACCCAGGAGAGCCAGATATTTGCACACACCCTCACCTGCCTGGCATTGCCGTGCTCCTGCCTGGCTCTCTCTCCAGACCTACCAGAACAGCAGCTTTCACTAGGCTACCTCTGCCTGGAGCCCACCGCACAGGTCCTTAGGAAGTTCTTAAGGCATGGTGTTTGTGATGCCCTAGGTAGGACTGGCTGACACAGGACTGTGGTACAACCAGAGAGGTCAGAGAAGGCAGGCTGAAGGCTGCTACTTGACCTGTGCACAGCCACCATGCCCTGGTACCTTCTTGTCAGGAGGATGGGGATGAAAAAGGAGCCCATAGGGACTGATGTCCCTGGGTCAGCTCAACTGCTTGAATTGGCATTGCCCTCACACAGATGTGTTGAAGGATGCAGACTTGACAACTACCTAATGCACGGCTCCAGGCTGGCCAGCTGCTCCAGGGACCCCCAAGAGTGAGGGAACAAAACCTATACCATCCCCTTGTTCGTCCACTAGCTACTGGAGAAGTGTGGCCTGAGGCTGAAAGCCAGGGTGGACCCTGCAGGTGCCAACCCTGAACACTGTCAGTCATCTTGCTGTGTTGGGCAGCAGGCCCTCCCTTGAAGTGGTGTGTCACCCAATCCCGAGTTGAATAGGTGCTTTTAGGATGGAAGCCTTTCAGACCACAGATTTGTGTGCATGTGACTGTGGTGCTGTGTATGTGGCCTTAGTGCACATGTTCGGAGGCAGGTGGGCATCAGGTATCCTGCTCTGTCACATTTTATCCTATTCCTTTGGACACAAACCATCCTTGCAGAGGATCCAAGTTCAGTTCCCAACTCTTGCATCAAGTGGTTCACAGCCACGTATGACTCCTGTTCCAAGGCCTCCAGGAACACCTGAACTCACCTCACATGTCCAGCCCCCCCCACATGCACATAACGAGGGCTGGAGAGATGGCGACGAAGGCTAGGCTCACAAGCAAAATAAAATTATTCATATATTTATATTTTTGTTTGTTTGGATTTTTGGTTTTTTTTTTTTTTTTTTGGTTTTTCGAGACAGTGTTTCTCTGTGGCTTTGGAGGCTATCCTGGAACTAGCTCTTGTAGACTAGGCTGGTCTTGAATTCACAGAGATCTGCCTCCCGACTACTGGGTTCAAAGGTGTGCACCACCACTGCCGGGCCCCAAAATAATAAGTTTTTTGTTTGTTTGTTTTTGTTTTTCCAAATAGGGTCTCTCTGTGTAGCTTTGTAGACCAGGCTGGCCTCAAATTCACAGAGACCTGTCTGCCTCTGCCTCCCGAGTTCTGGGATCAAAGGCGTGCGCCACCAACACCTGGCATTAATTTTTTCTTTCTCTTTTGTAATTTTTGCTTGTTTTCCAATATAGGGTTTCTCTGTGTAACCCTGATTGTTCTAGAATTCCCTCTGTAAGCCAGGGTAGCCTTGAACTCAAGAGATCCACATGTCTCTACCTCCCAAATGCTGGGATTAAAAGTGAGTGCCACCATGTCTAGCTAAACTTGTTTGTTTTTCAATACAGGGTTTCTCTGTGTAGCCCAGCCTGTCCTGGAACTCACTCTGAAGACCAAGCCAGCCTTAAACTCAAGAGATCCACCTGCCTCTGCCTCGTAAGTGCTGGAAGTTAAGGGGTGCACCACCACGTCCTGGCTTTTATGACGGCTTCTAACGGTCATTTTGGTTTCACTCTGTTCCTAACACATACATTCTCTTAGTCTTAGCAGCTCTCTGTGAGTTCCAGAGAGGGCTACACAAAGAAACCCTGTCTCAAAAAAAAACCCTAAATAAATAAATACTAAAACAGTTGCTGCATGTTTTTGTTTGCGTGTATCTGACACATATGGAGACCAGGGGACACTTGGAGTGGCCCTCTCCTGACATGTAGAGATGTCTTGCTGGCCTTGAACTTTTTAAAAATTAGCTTGAATCTAAAAACCCATAGCCCTGGACGTGGGGTCACGTGCTGTGATTTAGGGAAGCAGGGGCGAGAGGCTCACTCAGAAGTTCAGAGCCCATCTGTCAGACGCTGTCGGTACACGTTGTCTGTACTCACTGAGAGCAGAATCTGGGGGCAGGAGGCTTCTCACCCATCCCAGTCTCAAGCATTTTACTTCAAGTCTCCTCCAGAGCTCCCTGTTCTGGGGACAGGCTGGCCCTTTCATCCTGTAACAGGGTAAAAGAAAAACAATGAACAGCTACTTGTATTTAAAAACTTGGTGATGACCTGGTGGTGGTATACAGACATACATGCAGGGGACACACATCCATATACACACAAAAAAAATCAAAATTTGAAACAATGTGACCATAAGAGCAGAAGGAAAAAGTCATTCCAACAGAGGTTATTGTGAATCTCATGGTGTAAAAATAGCTAAAGAAGGAGTGGAGAAACATTCTCTCTCTCAGGAAATTCGAGCAAAGTTATTTCATCCAGGCTACCCTCGTCATTTCTGCTGGGTGTTTCCAGTGCCTGATTTGATGCTGTCACCTCTGCTTGCTGTAGCAGCCGCCTTTGTCATAACTCCTGACTTGACGGTCTGCTGTCTGCTGCTTTTATCTGCTACTTGCTTTTGTTCTAACTTTGCTTGCTACAAGCTTAACAAACTCATTCAAATCCAAGAGTACAGCTGACCATTCTCTGCATGGAATGGGCCTGCGCCACATAGCAAGTTCCAGGCTAGCTGGTGCTGCTAACCTGGGGGAAAGGGGGGGGGAGGAGAGAGGGAAGGAAAGCTGGGCCTAGGGGACTTGGATGGACTGTAGCAGGCCGAAGTGTGGCAAGCATGGCCCTGGCAGACCTTGCTCTCACCCCATTCCTTCTTCCGTGGTAAAAACTATTAGATTAATTCTTTTATTTTTTGGGGGGTGGGGAGTTTAGACAGGGTTTTTCTGTGTAGCCCTGGCTGTTCTGGAACTCGATCTGTAGACCAGGCTGACCTTGAACTCACAGAGATCCTTCTGCCTCTGCCTCCTGAGTGCTGGGATTAAAGGTGAGTGCCACCACCACCCAGTCTGCCTTCATCTCTTAAGGGCTGGGATTGCAAGTGTTCAGCACCACATTGTCTCTACTCTACAAATACAATTTTTCTTTTGGAAGTCTGTCTTGAGAGAAGCTGACTCACACACTTGTTGCTATTTCTTCACTCACTCCCACATCCATGCTCCATCTTGGTTTTCTTTTTCTCTGCATTTAGAATTTTCTTGAACATGTGAGGCTTTCCCAGTGGCATCTTGCTGTTTTGGGTGTCTGAAAATGTTTTTTGACATCTTGAGGCAGATTTTCTGAGCGCAGAATTCTAGACAGATAGTAATCACCTCAGTATACTGAAGCTGTGCTCAGTGTTCAGGGGACCACGGAGGACAGAAGAGGGCACTAGATCTCCTGGTGCTGGAGTTACAGGCAGGTGTGAGCTACCCAATATGGGTGTCGGGAACCAGACCCTGGTCGTCTGCAAGAATGGCAAGCCCTCTTAACCACTGAGCCTTCTCATCTCTATCCAGACCCAGGAAGGTTTTATGTGGCTCCTTGGCTTGAACAACAAAGGTTTATTTCTTCCTTTGTGGGACAGATGGTGACACACCAGGCTCCTGGTGGAGAGAGGGAGAGAACAGTGGCAAAATCCTTTGACAGCTCTGGAAGCTTCTGGCGGCAGACATCACTTAACCTCACATATCATTAGCCAAAGCCTGGTTCTAGCAAGGGCGGGGTCAGGTTTTGCAGATCTAAGTTGTTTGCATGCATGGTCATTGCTAAGAAGGGACTGGCAGCAGTAATTCAGTCCATGACACTGCCTCCTTTGCAGAACCCTGTGTGATTTTTAGGGTCCACAGGAAAATACTAAGCACACTACTTCTTCTCAGGCCAGTGTGGTAAGATATTCAAGGTGGGTTGTTTACTCATGCTGTAAACTGAAAGAGCCGAGAAGGAAGCTGAGGTTCCCCGGATGTTAGTAATTACAGTGGGTGGCTACCACCCCTAGGCCTGGGAGGACGAAAGGGTTCAGGAAGTAGGGCTGACAGGATGGAGGACTTGGAGGAGGACCCCAGCTACAGATGGTGGGTAGGAGGGCCCAACCAGCTTGGGCTTTTCCTCACCGGGAAACTACCACAGCTGCTCCGGAATGTTGACAGAAGCCAAGGGTGGGAAGTAAAGGCTGCCGCAGCAGAGGAAGGACTACCTTCTCACTGCAGTGCCCCCATTTACAGAACCTAACAGGAAGTCCGTTTGCAAGGACTCAAGTCTGGGATCTTGCTTTGCAGTGCTCACCCAGCCTCACTGAGTGGATTCCAGGAGGGTGGCCTGGGACCTACCAGAGGCATGTTTAGTAAGATATTTTCCACTACTAGCTTTGATGACTTTTCTTCAACTTTTGACTTGTTTTGTGATTTATTTAATTTTTTCTGTCTGATTTTTGTTTTTTCGAGACAGGGTTTTTCTGTGGCTTTGGAGGCTGTCCTGAAACTACCTCTTGTAGACCAGGTGGTCTCGAACTCACAGAGATCCACCTGCCTCTGCCTCCCGAGTGTTGGGACTAAAGGTGTGTGCCACCACTGCCAGGCGTGATTTATTTTTTAAAAAGTGTGTGTGTGTCCATTCTCACTTACGAACGCCGTTGATGCACTTGAGGTCATCAGACTTAGTGGAGAGTCAGTGTTCCGGTTGGTTGGCCGATTTGGTTTGGTTTCTGTTATGATTTTTCAAGAGAGGGTTTCTCTTTGTGTCGCCCTGGCTGTCCTGGAACTCACTTTGTAAACCAGACTGGCCTTGAACTCAGGGATTCCCCTGCCTCTGCTTCCTTAGTGCTGGGATTAAAGGTGTTATACCCAGCTATTTTTGATTTGTGAGCTGGGGTCTCACTCTTAGACCAGAAATCCATATACAGCCTAGGCTACCTCAAATTCATGTTACTAGTTCTGTACAAACCTCCCAAGTGTTGCAGTTCTCGGCATGAGCTACCATGCCTGGCATTTGTGTCTGTCTCCAGCCTGTTGTAGTAGTGTTGCTGTTGTGTGCCCACACAGTTGGCTTAAAAAAGAAAAGATTTCTTTTTAGTGCACGCCCGTGTCTGTGTGAGGATGCGCGCATTTGTGTGCAGGCGCTGGAAGAGTCCAGAAGAGGACATGGGAGTCCCCAGGGCCAGAGCTAATGTTTGTGAGTTGCCCAGTGTGGGAGCTAGGAAGAGGACTCATCCTCTGCAAGAGCAGTGCAAGCTCTAAACCACTGAGCCATCCCTCCAGCCCCACCACTGGCTTTCTTACCGAGTGCTAGGTATCAGACCCGATACCCATCCTTCACAGTGGTCCTTTCTCGGTTGTCTCCTTAGCCCGTCTGCTGTTGTGGTACAGGCTATATCCTCATCTGCATGGTAAGAAATGATCTAAAAAAAATGAAGAAAAAAGTGCCGTGCAGTTATTTGTAGAGATAATTTGAAATGGGGTGAAAGGTAAGAGTCTTTACTTTTCCCCCTCTTTTTTGCACTGATGACTGAACCCAAGGCCTTACACATGCTAGGCAAGCTGTGACACTAAATTGTATCCCTGACTCTCCTTGTCTCATTTAAAAATTAGATAAATTTTATTTTACGTGAATTTTTAAAAATATTTTTCTACTTATTATGTATACAGTGTTCTATATGCCTGCAGAAGAGGGCACTAGATCTCATTACAGATGGTTGTGAGCCACCATGTGGTTGCTGGGAATTGAACTCAGAACCTCTGGAAGAGCAGCCAGTGCTGAACCATCTCTCCAGCCCCTTATATGCATGTTTTGCCTGCATGTTTCTGTACCAGGGCTCTCCTGGAAATGGACTTACAGACCATTGTGAGCCATAATATGGGTGCTGGTAGCTAAACCTACACCCTCTGCAAGAGCAACAGTACTCTTAACCATCTCTCTGCTGTGTCTTTTTAAAAAGGAGTGTGTGTGTGTGTGTGTGTGTGTGTGTGTGTGTGTGTGTGTGTGTGTGTGTGTGGTGTGCCCATGAAGAAGCCAGAAGTGACTGTTGGTGACTTTCTCAATCAATCTATGTCAGATTTTTTGAGACAGGGTCTCTTACTAAGTCTGGAGTTCACCAATGGCTATGGTGGCTTTCCCCTCATCCCACCACAATCTTGATTTCTTTTTTCTTCCCCTCCCTCAACCCCCCCCAAAGATTTAGTGAGCCACCATGTGGTTGCTGGGAATTGAACTCAGGACCTCTGGAAGAGCAGCCAGTGCTCTTAACCTCTGAGCCATCTCTCCAGCCCCTTTCCTTCTCTCTCTCACTTTATCAGATTATGTGTAGATTTATGAAACAAAAGTGAGAAATAACTTCTAGAATGGGAGGGCCTCCCAAGAGGAAAGGCTGTGCCTGTCTGCTGATTCTTGTATTTATCTATTTATCTATTTATTTATTTTACAGGCTTGTTACTAGCTGAGCCATTTTCCTAGCTTCCATTTGAGGGGGGTTATTTGTTTGAGGTAGGGTTTCTCTATTTAGCCCTAGCTGTCCTGGAACTAGCTCTATAGACCAGACTGGCCTCGAACTTGGTTATCTGCCTGCCTCTGCCTCCCAAGTGCTGGGACCACTGCCTGGCTCTTTTTTTTTTTTTTTTAAGCTAAGGCATTGCTATGAAGCCCTGTTTGCCCTTAACTTGCTATGTAGGGCCAGGCTTGCCTCAGATCTGCAAACATCTTCCAGCTCCTGACTCCTGGGTAATGGGATTACAGTTATAAACCACACACATGGCCAGCTGTCTTTTTTAACTTTTCTTTTTGAGGTAAGGTCTTTAGCCAGGCAGGCCTTGAACTTTCTACCCTGCTACCTCTACTCACATTAAAAGTGTTCTTTAAGCTGGGTGGCGGTGGTGCACACTTTAGTCCCAGCACTCTGAAGGCAGAGGCAGATGGGTCACCGAGTTCGAGGCCAGCCTGTCTACAGAGGGAGTAAGTCTTCTCTACTAGGCCAGACTCCAAAGAAAACTTTCTGTTTTTCTCTCCAGGCTCCTGCAGGCTTAACAGACAGATGATCTAAATTCGTACTCAGGGCTTGCTGTTGGCCAGGCTACCTCAATGACTCAGTGCTGTCACCGCCGCCAGGAAAGGGCAAGGGCTGTTATTCCCATTCTCTTACACTACTGGACTGTGGACTTTAAGGGCTTTGATAATCTAATCGGCGGGCGTGTGGGTAGTTTAGCCCAGTTTTGTCTCCAGCCAAGCAAAACCACCAGAAGTGAACTTGGCCTCTTTGTCTTTTTGTCATTTCTTTCCCTTGGCAGAAGCCTCCAGGGCATCTGCCTCAGGAACTAACTCTTCCCCCCACCCAAGGTTGGCCTCAAATTTGATATGCAGCTGAGAATGACCTTGAACATCTAATTCTCCTTCGGGGCCCCCAGACCCTGAAATTATAAAGTTGTGTCACCATGCCCAGTTTTGTGCAGTGCTGGGAATTGAACCCAGGGCTTCATGCTCACTTGCAAGTACTCTACCACCGTACCACCGTGGTTGTTTAAGTCTTCCTTTGCTCCTGTCATTGCCCTCTACTCTTTTCCCTGTGGCAGGGTTTCACTTTGTAACCCAGCTTTGTAATCAACCCGCCTTGACCTCCCAAGCACTGAGGCTAGGGGCATGTACCGTCACGTCTGGCTTGGGCTTAAAAGAGAAAAACCTTAACACTGTTATTCTCGTGAAGCACAGTTATTCTGCAGCGCTGTTTTTGCAAACAGCAGTTGTATACTCCAGGGATCTGCTGTTTCCCTTCCATAAATTAAAAAGTCAGTCCATGCCAGGCAGTGGTGATGCACGCCTTTAATCCCAGCACTTGGGAGGCAGAGGCAGGTGGATCTCTGTGAGTTCAAGATCAGCCTGGTCTACAAGAGCTAGTTCTAGGACAGCCTCCAAAGCCACAAAGAAACCCTGTCTCGGGAAAACAAAACCAAAAGTCAGTCCATGTGGGTGTAAACCTCAAAGTTTACTGTTTCATTGGTGATTACATGAAACAGAGATTGTAAACACATTTCTTCTTTTGGTTTTTAACTAAATTTAATAACTTAATTAAAATTAATTAAATTAATAACTTAATTAAAATTTGTAGATAAGATCTCACTCTGTATCCCTGGAAGGCCTAGAAAACACACACACACACACACACACACAATAAGGCTAGACAAACAAAAAACAAAAATCAGTGGGGGGAAAAAAGATCATACTAGGAACAGGAGTTAGTGCACAGTCCCTACAGAGAAGGGGGGCTAGATAATAAAAGTTTGAACTTTTGTTTCCTTATGGCACTGGGAATCTAATCCAGAGCTTTGTGCCTTCAAGGCAAGCTGTCCCCACAAATGAAAGCTGTAGGTCTCAGCAGGACATTTTCTTTCTTTCTTTTTTTTTTTTTTTTTTTTTTTTTTTTTGGTTTTTCGAGACAAGGGTTTCTCTGTAGCTTTGGAGGCTATCCTGGAACTCACTTTGTAGACCAGGCTGGCCTCGAACTCACAGAGATCCGCCTGCCTCTGCCTCCCGAGTGCTAGGATTAAAGGCGTGCACCACCAACGCCCGGCTCAGCAGGACATTTTCTAAACAACCTGAGAAGCTAGTGCTTTGCAGCCTTGTGGTAGACATGCTGGGCGGTACATTTCTCAGGTGATTACAGGTGTGTTGCAGGAAACATGCACTTTCATAATTTTAAAGCATGGTGTTGTTTGTCTAATGTGTCTGGGGCTGCTTATGGCTGAGCCAACAATTTAGTAAGTGGACACAGCAAAACATGAGGTTGTGAAGGCTTGCCGGCAAGTCTGTTGCACGTTACTGAGTGGACAGCACCCCCTGCAGGAAAACAGTGGTCAGCATGTGATTTCATTGCAAATTATAATTGTATTGCAAATGACAGTTTCTCTAACAGCGTCTGGATGTCCATGTCCCCTGCATCTCGGGTTTTGCTTTTGCCTGCATTTTGTGCCCCACCCTTGGGTTCCAGCTCCCTTCAGTTCTCTAGGAGGCAGTGTCTGCGTTCACAGATCCCAAGGCTCTCCAGTTCCGAGTTGTGTTTTCCACAGCTAGGCAGAGCACGGTTAATGCTAGACCCCTACCCTTTCATCATCCACAGATGTCTCAGCCAGGGAGAGTCCTGACTGCACTTTGGGAAAGTAATGACAGGGTAGGTCTCCAGATGTGATGAGGGTACAATCAGATATGGGAAGGAGCTGCCTCAACCTGACCAAGAGTGGCTGTTTTAGGACCTGGAGAACATGGTGCCCGGGCAGCCGGGGCGTCAGGTTAACTATATACCTACTTTAACTGCTGTGGTCATCTTGCAAGGCAGGTATGATCCCAGGCTGTGCCTAAAGAGCAGAGAGCAGTTCAGTGGTATGAGAGGTCACTCAGTGGATCCATCCCCACATCTCCGCTTTGCTTCTGGAAGGGGATTGTAAGCATCTACCTGGTGTGTCCTGGCAGCCTTCAGGCCACCCACTGTGATACTCCACACCCTTATGCAGCTGACAAGCATGGGGCTAACATGTGCTGTGTACACCTTTCACCTCTGGGCCATGGAAAACTTCATTTAGTCCAAGGCCTTTTCTTGTCAGCTTATCAGTAGAAACACTCCACCAAGACACCACATCCCTGCAGAGGTGCTTGAATCTCAGACTTCTGATGGATTGTGGTTCACTCAAGTAAACTGTATTTTTCTATTTTGCTTTCTTTTTTAGGGGGTGGGGTTGCTACTGGTTTCTAGAGTTTCCACTTGGTACTAGGGTAACAGTTAAGGGGTATCTTAAGGCTTATCTCTGGCCTAGATAGCCCAGGAGGCTCCCAGATCTGGAACTGAAGTTTTAGATGGTTATGAGCCATCATGTAGGTGTTGGGACTCAAACCCAGGTCCTCTTATAGAGCAGCAACCTGAGCCAACCCTCTAGTTTTGTTTTTGTTTTGTTTGAGATAGGGGAATCTCACTATATAGCCCTGACTGGTTTGGAACTTTCTACGTAGCCAGTCTGCCCCTTCAGGGATCCACTGGCCTCTGCCTCTGAAGTGCTGGGATTAAAGTTGTGCATCACCAACCATGGCTTACTTTTCTTTTTTTTCAGATAGGATCTTTCTGTATACCTCTGACTGTCCTGGAACTCATATGCATCAGGCTGGCCTCAAACTCAGAGAGATCCGACTGCCTCTGCCTCCTGAGTGCTAGGATTAAAGGCATGTGCAACCACAAGATTTTACATTATAAAATAATGTTACCTCACAGGCAGTGGTGGTTCTTGCCTTTAATCCCATACTTTAGAGGCAGGTGGATGGATGTCAGTGAGTTCAGGGCCAGCCTGGTCTACAGAAAGAATTCCAGGACAGCCAAGGCTACACAAAGAAACCTTGTCTTGGGCCAGGGGTGGTGGGGGGAGGTAATGTTATCTCAGTAAAGGGTCTGAGAGATGGCTTAAATGGTTTGGCACAACCCAGGTTTGATTGCCAGCACCCACATGGATGGCTCATAACCATCAGTAGGTCTAGTTCCAGGGGATTCCATGCCTTCTTCTGGTCTCTTCAGGCACCAGTCATGAAGATGCAGGAAAAACATTTATACACAGCTGGGTGGTGGTGGTGCATGCCTTTGATCCCAACACTCAGGAGGCAGAGGCATGTAGATCTCTGTTAGTTTGAGACTAGCCTGGTCTACAAGAGCTAGTCCCAGGACAGCCTCCAAAGCCACAGAGAAACCCTGTCTTGAAAAAAAAATCATACACATAAAATAAATCTAAGTTTTTCTTTTTAATTATCTCAATCAGCAAAGATGTAGGCTTATTCTTAATTTTTGAAATAAAACATTTTAAACTACTGATAAATGTTTACAAACAAATACTAATTTCATCATAATCCAGCTAAACTGTGACACGTGAAGTTTGCCAATTTTTTGTTTGTTTGTTTGTTTGTTTTTGAGACAGATTTCTCTGTAGCTTTGGAGGCTGTCCTGGAACTCGCTCAGTAGACCAGGCTGGCCTTGAACTCACAGAGATCCATTGACAGGCTGTTTTATCAAGTTAATCACAGTGCATACCCCACTGTGATTCTCAGGTTTTAGTTTACAAGATGTTTCTTTCCAAGAAATTGAACCTTTCTCTCGAATGCACTCGATCGAATAGGAGAATTGGGCTCATAAAAGGGATTCATGGCAAACTTGATGTATAAGTCATAGACATCAGTGAAGAAGTTCTTGATTCCGTCTTCTTGCCTCATGTCATGAAGCATGATGAATCTCATGTGCCCAGCAGTGACAAAAGCTGACACAAACCACTCATTGAATTTGTCCACAGTTTTCAAGTACATGTTGTTGGAGAGCCACATGTTTTCGTCAACCAGGTCCAGAGCGGCGTGAGCTATGAACTGGTTCAGGTGGCGATGTTCATCTTTGGGTTCTGCTTTCCCAGCTGGCAAAAATTCCATTTCAAAAACTGGATTGTCATGGTGGCCAACAATTACAAAGTAGAAGCTTCCAGACATTGTCTTCTGTATATGTACAGCTCCTGTAGTAAAATGCTGGCAACAGAAACACTCAGTCAATACATGAAGAAAAAATTTATTTTACTGTATTTGTTTTTGAGACAGAATTTCACTCCATAGCCCAGGTCAGCCTTGAAATCCCAGCCTTCCACCTTAGCCTCCTAAGCCACCACACCTTGTCGTATTTAACAAATTTCACCCTCCGCTACCAATTTAATATGATACCTCTACCATATGCTAAATTTGCATATGTATTTCCTTTACGTTTGGATTTTTGTACTTTTTTTTTTAAGATTTATTTATTACATATACACTGTTCTTCCTACATGGCAGAAGAGGGCACCAAATTGAATTGTAGATGGTTGTGAGCCACCATGTGCTTGCTGGGAATTGAACTCAGGACTCCTGGAAGAGCAGTCAGTGCTCTTAACCTCGGAGCCATCTCTCCAGCCCGGATTTTTGTACTTTTTATGAAACAAAGGGAAAGCTGTTTATCATCTAGATCATTTCAATAGGTTCAGAAAATGAATTTAACAAAAATCTACCATTTTTCCATTGATTAAAACCAGAAAAAACAGCTAGGTGGTGGTGATGCACTCTGGAGGCAGAGGCAGGTGGATCTCTGAGTTTGAGGCTAGCCTGGTCTACAGAGAGAGTTCCAGCATAGTCAAGGGCTACACGGAGAAACCCTGTATTCAAAAATCCAAAACAAACAAAAAATCTGAGAAAAATACAAAGAGAAGGGAAGAAGTAATCACCACCAACAAATCCAAGAGTAATTTTACAGTTAATGGTCACAGACTGCAGGGCAGTGGTAGCTCACACCTGAAATCCCAACACTGGGGAGACTGAGGCAGGAAGACTGTCAGGATTTGAGGCCACCTGGACCACACAGGGAGTTTCAGCCAGCCTGGGCTATAGTCTGGGGTGCTGTCTCCAAAAACAAAACCCCAAATAGTTAAAACAACAACAACAACAAACAAACAAACCCAGAAACTAAAAGCTAAAAGCTTTCTTCTTAAAATCACAAACAAGGCAAGATCAGGCCTTTATCTTTTGGCTAAGATCAAGTTTAGGAACTCGGGGAGAGTGCCTCCCTCTGCCACTTCTATTCAGCACCAACTGGAGATTGTCAGCCAGGGAAATAAAGCTGAAGTTGACACCACATACATAAAACACCCATGGAGAACCACTTAGAGGAAGGTTCAGAAGGTTACAGAAAACAAGATCAAGACAGAAACAACTGCATTTCTGTAGACTAGCAACTAACCCAAAAGTGATGAAGGAACAGGGCAAGGGACAATCACTTAAAAAACACTCCCAGGCTGGAGAGATTGCTCAGTGGTTAGGAATACTGGCTGCTCTTGCAGAGGACCTAGGTTAGCACTGAAAATCATTGACGAATTAAAGAATCTCACCCATTCTTGAAAAGCTATAGGGCAAATAATGGCTCCTGGTTCAGGGGAGTCATTTCATCAATGGTGAAGCCACTGATAAGTTGTCTATATAAATAACTTCCTACCCATGCAAATCGTGAGCCGGCATCTCTGTCTCTGTCTCTCTCTCTCTGTTTTTCTCTCTGTCTCTCTCACTCACTCACTCACACACACACACACACACACACACACACACACACACACACACACACACACGTATACTTGCCATGTATTCATGATGACCTAAGTTCAATCCCAGAACCCACATAAAGGTGGAAGAGAAGCCAGATATGGCTTGGTGGCACATGTTTTTAATCCTTGAACTCAGGAGGCAGAGGCAAGAGGGTCTCTTGAGTTTAAGACTAGCTTGGTCAACAAAGCTACACAGACTTTGTTTCCAAAAAAAAAAAAAAAAAAAAAAGGCTGAGAGAACTGACTCCATAAAGTTGTCCTCTGACCTCTGACCTCCACACATGTACAGGCACTGATACTAATGTATCAAATACAAAGACAATAATAGTAATTTAAAAAATGCTGTAAAGACATAAGGGGAACTGACTGGGAAGAAGGGGTTCAATGGGAGTGGGAGAGAGGGTAATGAGGTGTGAAAAGTATGCACATGAATGAAACTGTCAAAGCATAACTTAAAGAAACAAACTATATAATGGGATGCCATCCATGGATGAGAAGTTTCTACACCCCATAAGCCTCTCCACTGATGCAGCAATCCAAATCAGACCAAATCAAACCGAATTAAAAAGGCCCACGTTTAATGTATACAATGCTCCTGGATGGCCTTCCAGCCCCCCAGAGAGGAGACTGAATATAGAGACTGGAATACCACCTGCTGTGCTTATTTTCTGGGGGGCAGTTTAAATACCTTGTGGGAGTGGTCTTGAGCATCTGAGTGGGAGAGAGATCATCATTTGGCGGGCTTTCTGAGATGCAGCAGGGTTTGCAGAGAGATAGGGGAGGGGGCTCGGGTGGAACCTCCACCATAACTTGCCAGACTGTTTGGGTAGATGGATGCCAGGGGCTGAGGTGAAGCTTCCACCTTAACAATGTTAATGGATTAAAGAGAGCAATACCCCTACTGACCTGCAGACTCGATGTCGTTTCTTGCAAAAACCATCTAACTTACTTCTGAACTTACTACACAATTGCAGAAGTCATGACAGAGTGGTGCTGGCCTAAGTTAAGACATCAAAATGACCAATGGGATAAGTATCCACTAAATAAACCGTTCATTCTGCCATTTGATTTTCTTTTTTTTTTTTTTTGAGACGAGGTGTTATGTAGTCCAGTCTAGCCTCCAACTATCAGAAGATGGCTTTGAATTTCTTACCCTTCTGCCTCCCCTCTCTCTAGTGCTGGGATTATCCACTATGCCTCTCTTAATTTTTTTTTAACTTTTTATTTCCGGTCCTGGGGACCAAATCCAAAGTCTCGGTGCTAGGCTAGGGCTCTACCATTGAGCCACACCCCATCCTAAGTAGGACAAAGTACACACCCATTGAAGTGATACAACTGCCTTCCCGGCCTCCCCCCCAGACAACCTCCTGTCTTCCGCTCTCTAGCTCTGAACTTTTTGTTTTGCGACAGGGTCTTGCTGTCACTCAGGTTGGCTTAGAACTAGAGGCGATCCTCTGGCGCTCGTAAACGCTGGGATTACAGGCGCGCGCACTCCGCCCAGTGTGGGAGTTTAGCAACTATAAATACCTCACATGAGTCGGCTTCCCTCTGGTTCAGGGGCGGCAGTGGTGCTGGTGAAGGCGTAGAAGGGGTCAAACTTAACGTCCGCCTCACAGGATAGCTCCGCCCAACGAGGAGTTGGGGCGGCCCACTGAGCATGCGTACGCGTTCGCGCCTATCAAGGAGCGACGGAGTGGCCCGTCCCGGCTACCATCTTGACTGCGACGGTGACGGGAGACCGCGCATGCTCGCTAAGGCGGCAAGAGCCCCCCCCCCCCGGGATTTGACCGCCATCTTGGGTCAGGGCATGGTAGGACGTCGGGTCCCGCTGGACAGCACTTCTTTGCCTTCGCCTCGTGCATGCTTGCTTTTGTCACTGATGTTCACTCGGAGGTGTAGAGAACCGGCACCTGGCGTGACTGGTGGAAGAGACATGCCAAGTGAGGCAAGGCTTGAGACTACATGGGTGCCAGAAAGCAAAATGGAGGTTGCAGCGCCAGGCACCTGTGTCCGGCCTGTGGGCCTTATTTCGTGGGCGGAAATGCGGAAAAGGAGGAGGATAGGAAGCAGTTCGGCTGGGGACTGTGTTTGGTGCTTATTTTCACCTCACACTCTTGCCTTTTCGAGTGTATACCTAGTTTCTTCACAGGTTTTTCCCTGAGGCACTTATTGCAAACGAGACTTTCCTGGTTATGGCGTTCTGTGTCTCTTCATGCCCTAAACGGACACTCTGAAGTTGCTTTTGCTAAAGAGCACTGGGGCACGGGGTGTCGAAAGATGAATTTTGGCATTTCTGCGTGTGTTTTGTGTCTGCCGGAAACTGATCTTGGTGTCCCACAAAGGAACAAGTGAACAAAGAGAAGTAGATCTGCAAGGCGCTTTCGTTTGTAAAAATTGTGTTTAAGGATCCAAACCAGGGCTGGAGGTTCACTTGGTTTTTATTTTAACAGGTGGGGACTATGTCTTTTTCCTCATTAGCTGGGATCCGACCTTTGTGATTGGTTGGTTTTGAAAGATTAACCTAAGGAAAGCAATAAAGGGTCTGTGCTACAGGCAGCCGGGAATTCTGGAGGGAAAAAGGATGTGTGTAGTTCGTGTAAACATTTTTTTACCAGGTGTGTGGGGGGGTTTATGGAATCTTGGCCCTCCGCAGACTGCCTCCTTTTGTTAGAACAGCATCAACAACCACCTCTCCATGTCTCCTTTCTTTACTGTGGGTCAGACACCTGCCCACTTGTGCACGCTTGAAGGCATAAAAAGTCACCGTCTCAAAGCCGAGGTCACCGTGATAGCGATGGAAGTTAGGGGAAGACTAAATGAAAGTGCTCTCCACAGGCTTCTTCAGTTATCATTTGTTTCTCTGGAGACACAGTTTCTCTGTGTAGCCCTGGCTGTCCCGTAACTGCCGTTGTAGACCAGGCTGGCCTCAAACTCAGAGATCCGCCTGCCTCTGTCCCCAGAGTGCTGGAATTTAAGGCCTGTGCCACCACCTGGCTTCGGGTGTTATTTGAGCCATCTTAGTGCGAACACGTCAGCTGATCACAACTTTGCATCAGTGAACCTGACTGCTGTTACCACCTTTATTTCAGAAAACTATTATCTCCATGTGTGCATACTTAGGTGTCTATGTCTGTTTGTCGGAGCACTTTTGGTTGTGTGTACTTGTGTTGAAATCACTGTTCACCTTGGTTTTTTGAGACAGTCTCCCTGTGTAGCCCTGACTGGCTTTAAACTTATCAAACTTAGCTTGAGAATCTTACAGAAAGTTTTACAGTAAGTATGATTGAGATGCTCAGAAATAAGTGGATTATGTACATTAAAAATATTATTGAGCTGGGCAGTGGTGGCGCGTGCTTTTGGTCCTGGCACTCGGGAGGCAGAGGCAGGCAGATCTGTGTGAGTTCAAGGTTAGCCTGGTCTACAGAGTGAGTTCCAGTACATCCAGGGCTACACAGAGAAACCCTGTCATGAAAACCTACAACAAAAACACTGTTGAGCAAAATAAAAAGTGAATTAAAATCAATTTTGGAAATAAAGCATACAGCCATACAAATATAAAATCAAGATTCAACTCCAGTTTAGGTAAAGACAAAAATTAAGGAAAACAGTGCTAGTCATGATGGCTTACACCTTTAATGCCAACACTTAGGAGGCAGAGGCTGTTGGATCTCTGAGTTCAAAGCCAGTTTGGTCTACACAGTGAGTTCCAGGCTGGCCAGGGCTGCATAGTGAGACCCTGTTTTAAGACAACAGAAGAAACGAATGAAAACACACATGTATGTAATGGAAATTCTGAGGGTAGAAGAAGAGGGTGGGGTTGAGCAGCAAACACATGCTGACCGTGGAGGCACAGTCGTGGGATCCCAGCAGGTGGGTAGCAGAGGCAGGTAAGCCTGTAAGCCAGCCATTGCTGCATAGAGACCTTGTTACTGATGGTTGGGATTGGGTATCCCCAGGTTCTTGACCTACTGTCCAAATAATTGAAGAAAGGACCTCATACAGTTTGCACAAGTGTTAAGATAGCTTCATTCACAGCAAAGCAGTAAACAGTTTAGAAAGGGATACACTGCCAAAATGGACAGTGGCCACAGAGTGAGGGTAGTGTTCAGGCTTCTTTTAGTGGAGTTCAAGAGGAGTAGTTAGTAGTTTTAACTGGCATAGTTTGGGTGGCTCTGTTTTGATGATTGGGTCATACAGTCCTGCCCATCCCTAAAGTGCATCTGACTTTATCATGTGTATGGTCAGTTATGCATGGGTCCAAGATGGTAAATCGGGATTCTCCTTATAAGCTTATCTAAGGAGTTTACCTTACTGTACATGCTCCCAAAACGAGTTCAGGCCAGATCAATCATTAGATTCTGTCCCATATTTGTATGTAGATATATGTTTTTCCATGTATTTATTTGTGTGTGCAGATCATTTGCCCCAGGAACCAAACTCAGGTCTTCAGTGTGACACTAAGCATGTTTATTCCTGTGTTATCTCTCTCTCCAGCCCTTCTGTTCTTTATACAAATTGCTTCCAATATATTGGGAATATATTTGAAAAGAAACTAAGTTTGATTGTTGTTAGAGTAGGAGAAACTTATTTAGAGAAAAGTGTGCATTTTGCTCAGTGCAACTGGGGTTGGAGATTGCTGGGTCCATCTTTGAGAGATACATGTGGGTAAAGGAAGTAGGCTGCCAAAGTGCATTACTAGGAGGGGTGTGTACTACCCAATCCAAGTAGAGTATCATGTTACTAAACTATTCCTATGTTCCCTTGCCTCAACTTTTAACCTTATCTCAAAACAAAACAAAAAGAATCCCCCAAAACAGAAAAACTATTTGAAAAGAAGATGGCTAGGAGCGGGGCGTTGGTGGCGCACGCCTTTATTCCCAGCACTCAGGAGGCAGAGGCAAGCAGATCTCTGTGAGTTCAAGGCCAGCCTGGTCTACAGAGCGAGTTCCAGGACAGCCTCCAAAACAACAGAGAAACCCTGTCTCAAAAAACAACCCAAAAAAAAAAAAAAAAAAAAAAGATGGCTAGGAACTCTCCAGAATTGGAGAACAAGGATCTTGTAATTAAAGTTGTCATCTGAAGAACAAGCAAGATAAACAATGAACCCAGAGAAATAAAACTGTAGAACATTAAGGATAAAACCAGAGCAAAATCTCAAATGCTAAGAGATGGTCTTCAAATGAACAATAGTTGGACCTACATACAGTAGTCATCTTTACAGGAACAAAACAGTCTAGAAGACTGAACTGGTGTCAACATTCAGTAAGAAGTTCCCTTCAGTCTAGAATTTCTAACCTAGCTACCCTTGCAGAGCATCAAGAATTCAATTTAAGACTGAGGATATGGCTTATTTGGTAGTGTTTGCCTAGCTTGAATGAAGGCCCCCTGCCTCCCTCCCTAGTACCACATAAGCCAGGCATGGTAGCATACTCTCTTTTTTTCTTTTGAGGGGTGGGGTTTCTGAGGCAGGGTTCCTCTGTGGCTTTGGAGGCTGTCCTGGAAGTAGCTATTGTATATCAGGCTGGTCTCAAACTCGAGATCTGTCTGCCTCTGCCTCCTGAATGCTGGGATCAAAGGCGTGCACCACCAACGCCTAGCAGTGCCATACTCTTGTAATTCTATATTTAGGAGGTAGAGGCAGGAGGATCAGAAGTTAAAGGTTTTATCCTTGACTACATTGTGAGTCAGAGGCAAGCCTAGGCTTTATGACAGTCTATCCACCAAAACAAAACATTGTGGAAGCTGAGGCCACCAATCTGGACTATAAATAACCAGCTACTGTTTAAAGCTCTTTTGATTAACTTTATTGAATAGCCAGATTCATAAGTTAGCACAGATCAAATGATTGTTTGCATGGGTTACAAATGACTCTTTTAAAAAACAGGAATAAAACAGTGAAAATTACAATCTGTAAAAAGGAAGACAAATCTTGTTTCTTAACATTTCAGAGAAGCGAGACTGAACACAACACATTGAAGATCAATACTTATTTTTGATTCAAGAACAAGGACTTAATGTTACAATATTATACACTACTTTACAAAATTAAATTTTCTATGTAAGGATTGTGTTTCTAATAGTTAAAACTGTGAAATCACATTTGGTGGTCCCCTAGATAACAGCTGTTATGCATCTCTGATTAGAAGTTTACATTTTTTTATTCTAATTATTGCAAAACAGTCTATTAGACTCAATACATTACATTAAATTAAAATATATGCAAGCTAAAATAAATGGTACTGCTTGAGTGAATATTAGTATGTCAGACTTAGAGAAACATTATTTTAAAAATTCTAGAAATTAGAAAAATAGAGTACTTTTTATGGTAGAACTGCCATGCTCAGATTTATATATCAAGATTGCCCTTGTCTGTTACTTTAGTAGTTGTAGATCTGTAGAAAATTCAAGGATCTTTCATAATTTACAACTACAATAAAAAAAATATGGCATAGTGTAAATATTAGTTGCTTTACATCAGAAAGTAATATAGGATGAGAGGATGGGTAGTGTCTTACTGTCAAAACAAAACAAAACAAAGTAAAACATTCAATATTGCAAAAAATAATTATATCAATATTCCACAAAGTTTCATTCTCTTATCCAAAGAATGAAAATTATGAACCCTAAATAGTTATGTTTTTATGACTGTTATAAAATTACTCTGGATTACACATTACACAATATCTAAAATAAAAATTAAAAGTAAATCTGTGAAATATACTAACCAAAGGGGTGCTAGCTAATAAGGGTCACTCACTCAGGGAAGGTCTGAGGCACAAGGAAGGTTTCCCTAGGAGTGCAACATTTCCCTCTGAAGATTCCTTACTATGAAAGAAAGAGCCTACAAATACCAACATTTCAAATCACATCAAGAAGAAAACTTTAGTTCATTTAAAGGAACATTAGAACATAATGGCTATTTCTTAAAGAGAGGGCAAATTATATAAATTGAATTGGTTATAGTTGAAAAGTGCTTCTCAATAAATGAAGCAGCTTTCAAGAGAAATTGGGTTCAGTGTACTATGTGTACATTGGAAACAAACTAATTTTTCAGCTGTCTTTTTTGAGACAAAGTCTTGCTGTTCTGGCACTTGCTATGTAGCCTAGGCTAGCAATTCTCCAGTCTTGGCCTCTTAAGTACCAGGTTAGGGGCATGTACCATCACGTCTGGCTTGGGATTAAAAGAGAAAAACCTTAACACTGTTATTCTCGTGAAGCACAGTTATTCTGCAGCAGCTGTTTTGCAAACAGCAGTTATATACTCCAGGGACCTGCTGCTTCCCTTCCCAGGAGTTAAAGACAGCCCATGTGGGTGTAAACCTGAAAGTTACTATTTCATTGGTGATCATGTGAGACCGAGATTGTAAACACATTTCTAACCTATGAAAACAAAAAACAAAGTCTCTTCATTATTATACACAAAGGTCATTGAAGTTCATACAAGACAAGATAAACCTGTGAAAACTGATCCAAACTCTTAAAAACACATCACAGCACTTTAAATACATATGGATAATTTACCTATTTGTAAACAAAAGCCATCTGATAGTTTGACTGTAATAGTCCTCTAACTGAATCAAAAGCAGTCTGGAGAGCATGTTCAGAAATCAAGTTTCCCTTAAAACTTTAACAGGATGGATTTGTACAATCTTAATATCCACCACCTTGAACAGCAGCATTCATACTTTAGCAGGTTTTAATATCTCAGAATATGTGAGTGGCTTCCAATTTAATTATTAAACTCCTTAGAGAAATGGTGATGAACTCTGAGATGGCATTACAGAACCTTTACTTTTTTCACTCTCATTTTATCAAAATAACCACTTTTAACTTTGTATCAGTCACAGCAGAAATGTACCAAACAAAAGCCCACTCAGAGACTCAAGATAACCCAAATTTTCCAGCTCCTATTATCATTGCCAGTCCTGACATATTTGCTAAGACAGCTCTAAGTCTATTCATGGCAGAATAAAACAGCAGAAAACCACCTAATTACAGTTTTCACCTCAAATTAAAGTGACTTTGTTCAAGTAGAGAGAATACTGACAGACTTTAAAGCTTGACAATTACTTTATATTCTTCCCAAGCAAGGCCAGAGCTAGTTAACTCCAGTTTTTGTTAACATGATCCTTTCTTTTTCTTCCTTAAGAAAGGAAGGGTAGGGGTGGGACAAAAAATGTAAAGGGAATAGATTCCAGCTTTTCTACAGTCTATTGACTTTCAGCTTTTCCAATTTTAAAAAAGATCATTATTGATACATTTGAAACTTCCCTGCAACACTTAGTTTTGTGAGGTTTTTAAATGTAGCAGCCAAAAAACTCAGGAAAAAAAATGAGAACTAGAAATGCAGAACACAGAAGTCTTTATTTTATAAAATGTACTCTGCCTCTGTGATATTGTCTCATCTCAATCTCTAACAACTCAAACATAGTTGGCAGCAAAGGGGGGAAAAAGGCTTCCAATTGTATAGGCCTCTATTTTGATTTGAAAAATACAGTATTTTGGAGTTCACACCTGACTCTGCTGTGGTCTTTATTTGCTATAGTTGTTGAAATCACAGTGAAACATCTTACTCATCACATTTGCTCACGATCTGTAGGAGGAAAGGAAGGTACTGCATTCTCAGGAACTCTGCATGTGATTCCTCAGCAGCTCTGTTCACTTGTTCACTTGCTGCTGTATGTGCAGGAGGAATTCATAATACGACAGTGCAGATTCCGTTCTGTCTTCTACCAAGTTCTGAAGGAAGGCTGCTTTCATTGGACTCTCCTCCCTTAGAAATAAAAGGCAAGAATGTTCATGTACTTTAGATGCAGAAGAATAAACTATGATTTACTGTGGTAATTAAAATAAATTTGGCCTTATAGAGCACTTGCTGCTTTTACAGAGGAACTACGCTCATTTGGCTTCTACATGGTGGATCACAACTGCCTCTAAGTCCAGTTCTAGAGGATAAAATGCCCTCCATCTGACTTCCAAGGGTACCAGGTATGCATATGGTGTGCACACACACACACACACACACACACACACACACACACACACACACACACACACAGGCAAAACACGTGGAATATTATTTTAACTAGGCAAAGATGTTACATTTATTTATGCTGCATTTGTTTAACAATGTAAGGATGTGTGTTATGTAAAGATATGTTGCATCTGCTTCATCTTGCCTGCCTAAGGCACCTGGTTGGTCTAATAAACTTATTTAGGAAAATTTTAATTCAGAACTAGGGGAAACTACTGATATTTTTGTTAGCAAGTTTATTAAAAGATTTTTCTTGGTTTTTCAAGACAGTTTCTCTGTGTAGCCTAACTGTCCTGGAACTTGCTTTTTAGACTAGGCTGCTCTCAAACTCAGATATCTGCCTGTCTTTGCGCTCCTGAGTGCTGAGATTAAAGGTGTGTGCCACCACCACTCAGCTATATTCTTTTGTATTTTTGAGACAGGGTCTCAAAACCAAAAGAAGAAAAGTTGGGCAGTCGTGGTTGGTGCATGCATTTAATCTCAGCACTCAGAGGCAGGGAGATCTCTGTGAGTTTGAGGGCAGCCTGGTCTACAGAGCGAGTTCCAGGACAGTCAGGGTTACACAGAGCAACCCTGTCTCAGAGAGAGAGAGGGGGGGGGGAGGGGGAGAGGGGGAGAGGGAGAGGGAGAGGGAGAGGGAGGGAGGGAGGGAGGGAGGGAGGGAGGGAGGGAGGGAGGGAGGGAGAGTGCATGCATCATGTAGTCCATGCTGGCTTTGGATCATTCTAGCTGAGGGTGAACTTAAAGTGATGCTCCTGCTTCCACCTTTGGAGTGCTGGGATCACAAGCCTGTGTCACCATGCACTGTTTTATATTGTGCTGGGGACTGCACAATATGCTACAGAATATGCTACGTAAGATTCTACCAACTAATCTATATCCCCTGACTCTCTTATGTTCTTTTAAAAGGCTTAATTACAAATTAGGTCATACACATACTAAATATGTCCTTGTAAGGCCAGACACTGACACATTAAAAATATGACTTACCTGATTACATAGAGTACTGGGAAAAATGGCCTCTGTTCTCTAAGCCACGAGATGAAAGCTACTGTTCGGGCAGATTCTGGTGTATCCAGTTCTGGAAGGTCTGTCTGTTAAACAAAACTCCAGTTACTGCTATTATCTACTGTGTAGGCTGAAGCTCTCTTCAGATTTTAACATTTAACAATCAGCTGATGATTTTGTTGAACCACTGAGTGAATATTTTAGGTTCTGAAGTAATTTTGTCTCTGTTGCAAATACTCAGCTTTGCCATTGCTACCCTGAAGTAAGTGAATGGATATGAAGTAAGCGTTGTGTTGCAATAAAATCTTAATTACAAAACAGGTGGCAGGCTCTTGGGTATAGTTTGTACTGTTCTGATTTAGGAAAACCTCCCCGCTCTTCACTTCATAATGAAATTTAGAATCAACCAACTCATCAAGGTGGTTATTACTAATAGAACAGTTTTCTTATTTCATTACTTAAAACGCCTATTCATCCAGTCCAGTAGTGTTGCTCAAGAACTGAAAGCTAATATACTAACTATAATCTTGACATCTAAATCTAGATACATGAATCCTGAGGATCAAGAGAGGGCTCAGTGGGTAAAGGCACTTGCTACCAAGTCTGATGACCTGAGTTTGATCTCTGAGACTGACTTGGTAAACAGAAAGAACCAACCCCCCAAAATTGTCCTCTAACTCTATACTTTGTTGTTGTTGTTGAAGATTTATTACTCTGCATGTATCCCTGCAAGCCAGAAGAGGGCACCAGATCTCATTACAGATGGTCGTGAGCCACCATGTGGTTGCTGGGAATTCTGGAAGAGCAGTTAATGTTTTAACCACTGGGCCATCTCTCCAGCCCCCTGGAGAGTGACTCCACACTTGAGCCTTGACATTCATATTCCCAACTCCAATGAAGAAACAGAAAAAATAAAAATAAAAAATAAATACAGGAGGGGCTGGAGAAATGGCTCAGTGGTTAAGAGCACTGGCTGGCTGGCCTGGCCTCTGAATGCTGGGATTAAAGGTGTGCACCACCATATCCAGACACAAGACCTACCTCAAAAACAAAACCAATGAAATGAAATGCATGCACACACACACACACACACAACCATGTTATTCCATTCTCAGAAGGAGAGGTAGGATGAACTTGTATGTCAGGTTAGCTTGGGCTACACAGCAGGCCCTGTCAAAAAACCGAGGGAAGCAGTTAGAGATGGCTCAGCTCAAGAGCATGTATTGCTCTTGCAGAGGACCTGGGTTCACGTCCCATCACCCACATGGTGCTCAACTATAAGCCCAATTCCAGGGGATCCAACACCCTGTTCTAATTTCCACAGGCATGAGACATGCATGTGGTACACACATTTACATGCAAGCAAAATATTCATACACATAAAATAAAAACATGTCTGAGGCTAACCAAAATACCATTATAAGACAAGATGAGATACGTGTAGTGGTTCAAGGTGGTTCTCTGTGAGTTTGAGGCCAATGTGGTCTACATAGTGAGTTCTAGGCCAGCCAGGGCTACAAAGTGAGACCCTGTCTGAAAAAACCAAAACCCAAGACCCCAAACTCAAACCCAACCAAACAAAAAGGAGAAGATGAGCTTGGCATGTCGGTGTGTGGTTGTAACCCTGTCTGCTAAAGAAGCTGAGGCAGAAGGATCTCCAAGTCCTTGGATCACAGCACCCAAACCAAACCATAAAATGAGCACTGACAGGTGGAAGAGAGAAAGATACTATCTGTGAGGACATATTTACTCTTCAGGAGAAACTTGGAGTATTAATTTCTGATTTGGAAATGGAATTCATGTTTTTGTATTATTTAAAATATCCTTTAAGTCCCCTATGATTATTAACATAAAAAGCTTACCATCATCTGTGGAATTGATGCATAGTTTTGAACTCCCAGAACTTGGCTGAGAAAATTCTGTGCACAATTTTTTCCAACCCAAAGCATCAGTACCTGCAAACAGAAACACACTATTCTGAGAGGCAGCCTAATAGTGAGTCTGACACTTTTACCACTGGGTATGTTTTAAAAAGTTAAAAGTAAAGCATGCTTAGTGAGGCTGTACAGAGAACTACTGCACACTGTGAAACGAGGCTGCAGGGAGAAGGCAACACCCACATACAGATTAAAGAAAGGCAGCAGAAGCCAAGTGCTAAGGAGGCCCAGCAGCACACTGAGCTCATCAGGCTGCATAAATCCACTCACCGAGCCTGCATCCATGAGGAAGGCTCCATCCCTGCTCAACTTCTCCACTGAGAGCTGAAGAATGGGGGGCTGAGGTATGGTTCTGTCATTGATGTTGAGAGCTCCCTGAAGAAGGAAGCAGTAAGGTTTTTACACAGGTGACACACAGACATGATATACATATGTTTGCATATGTACATGTATATGGCACATGTTCACAAGTGCTAGGTATATGGTCGTGTGTGTGCACCTGCGCACCAGCTCAAAACTGATGTGGGTGTCTTTTACTTTTTCAAGGCAGTCTTTTGCTTAACCTGGAGCTCACCAATTCTAGACAGTCTAGCTAGCCAGCTTGTTCCAGAGATCTGCTGCCTGTATTCAGAGTGATGGGATTACAAGTGGCTGCTATGTCTGCTTGTTGCTTTTTATGCCTGCCCTACATTTTATGTGAGTTCTGAATTCTGGTCCTTACACTTCCACAATAAGCACTTTATCCTTTGAACCAAACCCCCGCCTCAGTGCTTTTTTGGAGAAAGGGTCTAATAAAGTCCAGGCTACCCTCAAACTTCTTATGTTGCTGAAGAGATCTTGAACTTCTTAATTTTCTGCCTACTCCTCTTAAATTTTGAAATTACTGGTATGTGGTATTATGGTTAGCCCTATAGAACTACAGTTAAATGAATATGACTCCTAAGAGCTTAGAACTTAATTAGGCAAATCAATTATCCTTAGTAAAGATGGAGTAATATATATATTAAAATCACTGTGACTAGTAATTGAAATCGAATTCTGATCATATTTAATTTATTTCTTGTGTGTGTAGCTAGAAGTAAATGGTAGGTGTCTTTTCTGTTATTCTCCATCTTATTCTTTAAGACAAGCTCTCAATGAACCCAGAGCTTGTTGACTCAGTTATCTGGCTGACCAGTGCATTAAAGGGATCCTCTTGCCTCTGGTTCCCAGTCCTGGGAACTAACTCAAGTCCTCATGCTTATGCAGCACGCACTTTACCAACAAACCATCTCTCCAGCCCATTCTCATCTTCTGTTGTTGTTTTTATAGTTTCTTTTTACTTTATGGACATTGGTTTTGCCTGCATGTATGTGCGAAGGTGTCAGAAACTTTGGTACTGGGGTTACAGACAGGTGTGAGCTGCCATGTGGGAGCTGGGAATTGAACTTCAGTCCTCTGGAAGAGCAGCCAGTGTTCTTAAGTTACTGGGTCATCTCTCCAGTCCCCCCTTTTTTTGTTTTTTTAACCAGATCTTTAGATACAAGGTAACTGCCAGCTCCTTATGTAGCTAAAGATAACCTTGACTTCTTTTTTGATACTCCTGCCTCCACATCCCAAGTGCTGGGACTGCAGGTATGAGCCATCATGCTGGGTTTATACAGGGCTGAAGAGGGAACCCAGGCTTCTCCAATGCTAGGCAAGCATTCTACCAACAGAGTACATTCTCAGTTCCAATTGTTTGGTTTTGAGAGAGGGTCTCCTGTTAGCCAGGAAGGCCTAGAACTCCCCTTATACCTGGGGCTGGTCTTCTAATCCACCTTCCAAGTGCTGGGATTACAGACATGTGCCACCAAGCTTGACTTTTTTGTTTTGTTTTATGTTTTGGTTTTTTGAGACAAGGTTTCTCTGGCTTTGGAGGCTGTCCTAGAACTAGCTCTTGTACACCAGGCTAGCCTTGAACTCACATAGATCCGCCTGCCTCTGCCTCTCAAGTGCTGGGATAAAAGGTGTGCACTACCACTGCTCCACCCAAGCTTGGCTTTCTAACTTATTTTAAAAAATGAACTCAGTGAATACAACATATAGTGGCATTAATGAAATACAAACCAAATCTGGAATTTAGTTACTAGTAATATATTCCTTCCTTCCTTTCTTTTTGAGATAAGATCTCTCTCTGAAGCTTTGACTGTCTTGGATCTTGGCATGTAGACCAGACTGGCTTTGGACTCAGATCTGCCTGCTTCTGCCTCTGGGCGTTGGGATTAAATGTTACGTGTACCTCTATTCCCAGCAATTTTGTTTTCTTGAATTTTACAAATATAATATAGTTTTACATTTACTTTTAAATCTTTTGGGTTTTGTTTTCTGAGATAGGACTGTTTCAAACTTATGTGCTCCTGTGATCCTTTTGCTTTAGCCTCCCAAAGTCATTGGAGCTATATGCATAAGCCAATTGGCTATAACCCAGCTAACTAGAAAATTAAATACTAGAGGAGAATGGCTAGGGTATGTAAGAATCTTCTGTGCTGACTATTTTACGCCAACTTGGTACAGGCCAAACATTTAAGAAGAGGGAACCGTAACTGAGAAAATGCCCCCACCAGATATGAGGCATTTCTCTCAATTAGTGAGTGATGTGAGAGTAGTCCAATTGTGGGTGGTGATCTTGGGGTGTGCAAGAAAGCAGGCTGAGCCAGGCATTGGTGGCGCACGCCTTTAATCCCAGCACTAGGGAGGCAGAGGCAGGTGGATCTCTGTGAGTTCGAGGCCAGCCTGGTCTACAGAGTGAGTTCCAGGACACCAGGACAGCCTCCAAAACAATACAGAAAAACCCTGTCTCGAAAAACAAACAAACAAAACAAAGCAAAACAAACAAGCAAAACAAAACAAAAAAAAAAAAAGAAAGAAAGCAAGCAGGCTTAGCAAACCATCAGGAGCAAGCCAGTAAGCAGCACCATCCCTGGTCTTCCTGTCAGTTCCTACCCTAACTTCTCTGCATGATGAACTACCAACTACAAGCCAGTAAGCAGCACCATCCCTGGTCTTCCTGTCAGTTCCTATCCTAACTTCTCTGCATGATGAACTACCAACTACAAGCTGAAATAAACCCTTTCCTTGACAAGTCGCCTTTGGTCATTGTATTTTAGCACAGCAATAGAAACTGAGACACTTTTTTGTTTGTTTGTTTTGTTTTGAAGACAGGGTTTCTCTGTATCTTTGGAGGCTGTTCTGGAATTAGCTGTTGTAGATCAGGCTGGTCTTGAACTCACAAAGATCCACCTGCCTCTGCCTCCCGAGTGCTGGGATTAAAGGCGTGCGCCACCACTGCCTGGCTGAGACAGGGTTTCTCTCTAGGTTTGGAGGCTGTCCTGGAACTCTCTTTGAATACCAGGCTGGCCACGAACTCACAGAGATCTACCTACCTCTGCCTCCCAAGTGCTGGGATTTTGTGCCACCACCACCCGGCCACTTTCTATAGTATATCTATAAATTTCAAATTAAAGAAAGAGAATGTGTCTTAGAAAACTTAAAGTCATCATTTTTTAGGAACTTTCCTAAAAATAAAGGTTTCTGTGCATTTACCTAGAAAAAGAACAAAGAACTAAGTAACAAACTCTTATTTCTGGACTGAATATAATTAAGCAAAACAATTTTCAGAAAAAGCCACAGAACAGGGAGTTGACCTTACCTCATCTGAGAGGTTGTCAATTCTATACAAACTGGGGTGTGTTGTGAGCATAAGGTGAACCAACGGCTGGTTTTTCACTTGACACATGGCAAAAATTCGGTCATCTAGACGTACATTCGTCCCAGTCTGGAAAGACTTCTGTAACAAAAGAAAAACCATGCCCCCAATTAAAAAAAAAAAGACAGAATTTTGTAAATGTCAGTTGCTAAAAGATCTTCAGGAAGAATTAGCAAATTTATCATAAATTGTCCCTTGAAAATACCTTTTAAGAAGTCCTATAGTAAATTACTCTGCAGCCTCACCTGAAAGTCTCAAGTAATCAAATGCTGGACCACAGTGGAGCCACCCAATCTCCCTGGTGTCGGCCTCCTCATGGCTAAGCATGTCTGCTCAGTGCTGGTGAAGGAGCTGAGCAGCGGCAATGGAGACGGGACGTACACGACATACAGAAAGACTCACCATGTGTGCTGTGCCTGCTGCACGGTAGTTAACAGTGGCTAAACGCAGAGGTGCTTCTCCCACAACTAGAGAAATTAAAAAGTGCACCAGATCTGAACGCAGAGGTGCTTCTCCCACAACTAGAGAAATTAAACAGTGCACCAGATCTGAACGCAGAGGTGCTTCTCCCACAACTAGAGAAATTAAAAAGTGCACCAGATCTGAACGCAGAGGTGCTTCTCCCACAACTAGAGAAATTAAAAAGTGCACCAGATCTGAACGCAGAGGTGCTTCTCCCACAACTAGAGAAATTAAACAGTGCACCAGATCTGAATGCAGAGGTGCTTCTCCCACAACTAGAGAAATTAAACAGTGCACCAGATCTGAACGCAGAGGTGCTTCTCCCACAACTAGAGAAATTAAACAGTGCACCAGATCTGAATGCAGAGGTGCTTCTCCCACAACTAGAGAAATTAAACAGTGCACCAGATCTGAACGCAGAGGTGCTTCTCCCACAACTAGAGAAATTAAACAAACAGTACACCAGATCTGAACGCACAGGTGCTTCTCCCACAACTGGAGAAATTAAACAAACAGTACAGCAGATCTTACAAGCCTATGCAGGATGACATGAATGGGGACAGCAGCACAGTGGCCGAGTTTGTGACACACTTGGCTGTAGTAGCTTCATAGAGACCAGCGAAGTTCTAAGGTGAGGTTTTAAAGGGTTCCAGTTGGTGAAAGGAGTAAAAGAGGCAGGAACAACAAACCAAATGTGAGCAGAGAGCATTCAAGGCAGGCTCAGGTGACTACTCGGGTAAAACACTGACAGAGCTTTGACCCCATTGCACCTAACTTAGACTGTCACATGTCCCTCATTGATGGGTGTCTGCCTGGTGTTCATCTACACTCACTGTCCCAAAGATCCAAATCAGCTTTTTATGCCTAGGATAGCTGCACTCCTGAGGTTGCCCATTAATCAGCATGTATTGAAAGCTGGTGGCCTAGGTAATTGCAATAGAGGCTTTGGCACAGCATGAGAAAGATGTTAATGAATTACTTCACCTGTAAATATAAAATAAATAGGGCTTGAGAGATAGCTCAGTGGTTAAGAGCACTGGTTGGTCTTGCAGAAGACCCAGATTCAGTTCCCAGCATACATCTGGTGTTGTCTTCTGACCTCCACAGGCACCAAGTACACATGCAAGCAAAACACTCATACATATAAAATAAAACAAATAAATATAAAACAAAGAATAAAATAAATAATCACTATAGTGAAACAATTCACTAAAATCTTTTCCATTTATTGTCTATTACATATTAGGTGCTAGAACTGAATAGTAAATAAAGGCAAAAATCTTGGTGTTCACAGGTTACTTCCTATAAAACAAGAGATAAAATTGTGTATAACAGTGCACTTGGGATGCAGAGGCAGGTGGATTTCTGTGATTTTTTTTTTTTTTTTGGTTTTTCGAGACAGGGTTTCTCTGTGTGGCTTTGGAGACTGTCCTGGAACTCACTCTGTAGACCAGGCTGGCCTCGAACTCACAGAGATCCACCTGCCTCTGCCTCCCGAGTGCAGTCTTCAGTCTCTAACAAAACTGTCATTCTGCTCTTTGAGTCCATGTGCTCATTTCTAAGCTTCTGAATATGTGAGAACATGCAACACGTGTGGCTTGTTATATCAACAACACAATTTCTAACTCTTTCTTTGGAAAGCTAGTTATCATTTAAATTTGTGGTCACAGCACAGTCCTTGATGAGTGAGTTATCTCTTATATGTTAGGCACTTGCATTAAATTATCCATAAATTTCTTTGGCTATAAATCCCTTGAATACTTTAATAAAAGATAGTACCCATTCTTAGAAAATTTAACTGGGTTAATGTCAAAAAGCTTTTTAACATTCTTACTGTGCTAGTCTGTGTTTTCTTACCTGTTTAAGGAGAGCCAACACAAAGAGTGGGAAAAGCCTCAAACAGAAAGGAACCATGAGGCCTGGCTGCTGGTTACTCAGGACTGAAGATCGGTATGCCGAGAGAGAGTCGATGACAGCATTCACCAAAGCATCCCGGGCATCGCTCAGGCTGGCAGTCACTGACCTATCGACAGCTAGTGAGGTGAGAGTAGGGACAAGAAAGAAACAAGATAGAAATTCGGTGATTCTAATAGGGCAGAAGAGAACATGGACAGACAGACAGACAGACACACACACACACACACACACACACACACACAGAGTCAGAGGATGGTTTGCAGGGGTCGATTCTCTTTCCGTCATATGAATATTCAGGTATCGAACAGGTAGTCAGGCTACTTGGCAAATACCTTTACCTGTCAAGCCATCTTGCTAGCCCAATGAATGCCCCTCTCCTCCCCCCACACCCTCCCAAGACAGGGTTTCTCTGTGTAACAGCCCTGGTTTCCTGGAACTCAATTTATAGATTAGGCAGGCCTTGAACTCACAGAGATCTGCCTGCCTCTCCCTCCCAGGTGCTGGGATTAAATGCACGCATCACCATGCCTAATTAATTTTTTTCACAGCAGATTTAAACAAGGTTATGAACATATGTTTGAAAGTGACATATGTTTAGGTTTTTTGTTTTTGTTTTTTTCAAGACAGGGTTTCTCTGTAGCTTTGGAGGCTGTCCTGGAACTCACTTTGTAGACAAGGCTGGCCTCGAAGTCACAGAGATCTGCCTGTCTCTGCTAGTGGTGGGACTAAAGGTATGTGCCACCACTGCTTCATGCAAAAGGTTTTTGAAGTTGGAACAAGTAGAAGTTAATACAAACACACACAACAAACCCCAGGTGTTTCTGGGAATATTCAACCTTATTGCACTGCAGTGAATTTGCTGTAGTAGCCTCTATTCTGAACACACAGCTGAACCTGAGACCTCTTGGCTCAGCTCAGATGCTTTGTGTAATGGATAGCAATGTTGTACATACTCTTATAAGACACAATGGTTTAATTAGCACTCGGGAGGCAGAGGCAGGCGGATCTCTGTGAGTTCGAGACCAAGCCTGGTCTACCGAGCGAGTTCCAGGACAGGCTCCAAAACAATACAGAGAAACCCTGTCTCGAAAAAAACAAACAAACAAAAAAGATTTATTACATATGCCAGAAGAGGACATCAGATCTCATTGCAGATGGTTTTGAGTCACCATGTGGTTGCTGGGAATTGAACTCAGGATCTCTGGAAGAGCAGCCAGTGCTCTTAAGCACTGAGCCATCAGTCCAGCCCCAAATGTTTCATTTTTTAAAACTGTTGTTTGAATTGCTGAGTTGAGGTTCATAAAAAGTTGTTAAGTGAGTTAATCTTGAGATCAGGACAGAATAATGGCTGTAAACAAATTTTAGCTATATTATTTAGATGAGGCAGTTCTCTCAGCATTGATGATAATAAAACCAAAATATACACCAACTTTAAGAAATGCTGAACATATATCCAAGGTTTAATTCATGGAAAAATAAAGCACATCCATCTCATTAATATGCAACTTGCTTTTGAATATGGTAAAAGGAGAAAACATGAATATGCCAAAATTGTTTTAAAGTTTCTTTGTGATTCATCATCAATAAAAAACGCGATCTGTATATGTATATCCCTATCCACATAGGGCTGCATGCAATATTTTTGGGTGCAGATGTTTCAGCCCTGCCTCACAGTTCACTGCCATCTGCTATCCAATGCAGAACTAATAAAGCTTTATCAGCAGTAGTTCCAACAAGTGTTCATACTAAACATTTCTATAAGAAATGCTGTTTAAAGGGGTCGGGGAGGTGGCTCCACAATTAGGGGCACTTATTGCTTTTGCAGGGGACCTAGAGTCAGTTCCCAGCACTTACATGGCAGCTTATAACCATCCTTAACTATAGATCTAGGGGCTCCAATGTCCTCTCCTGGCCTCCTCATATACCAGGCATCTGAGTATGCACAGACATACATGTAGGCAAAGCACCCATACACATAAAGTAAAAGTAAAGATTTTTTTTTTTGTTTTGGTTTTTATGAGACAGGGTTTCTCTGTATTGTTTTGGAGGCTGTCGGTCCAGCCCAGCCTCGAACTCACAGAGATCTGCCTGCCTCTGCCTCTGGAGTGCTGGGATTAAAGACGTGTGCCACCACCGCCCGGCAAATAAAGATATTTTAAAATCTTTAAAAAAAAGTTTCAGAAGAAAATAAAGGATATATATATATATATATATATATATATATATTTTTTTTTTTTTTTAAGAAGGTGGTAATGACCTATGCCTTTAATCCTAGCACTCAGGAGTCAGAGGCAGGAGTATCTCTGTGAGTTCAAGGCCAGCCTGGTCTACAGAGCGAGTTCTAGGACAATCAGGGTTACACAAACACAGAGAAACCCTGTCTTGAAAAAAACCAAAACCAAACAAACAAACAAAACAAAAATATCCACCCCTCCAAAAAGGAGATATAGTTACTTAAGTCCAAAGAAACAAATATCTATAGAGAGACATTCAATGATGGCTTAAGGCCAGTGAGGGAAGGAGCAAGGAGCAGGTACTAATTGGGCATGAGATTCTTTTCAGTTGATGAAAATGCTCTAAAATTAAACTGTGATGTTGGCTGTATAACTCAGTAAGCATGTTAAAAATAATGAATTATTCAATTAAAATGGCTGAAATTCCTTAATATATAACTATACTTCAATAAAGCTGTTTATACAAGCAAAACAGACCCAATCAGCACAGTGGGCCTTTTCACTGAAACAGATACATATACAAACATCAAAACCTCTAAGGTGACATCTTTAGGTAAAACAAAAACATACATATGTGTTTAATGGTATGATGTAAAATATTTAAACTGGTAACAATTTCTTACCCATATTGGCCAATAACCCTGAAATTGCTTGAACATCAGCTCCAAGAAAGACTTCATTCAAGGTGGAAACTACCGGCAAACACAAAGTATGGACACGAATTCTTCTTTCACCTTTAGGGGTAAAAGACAATAGCTGTTTTTTAGGAAAAGGTTATGTTGAAGTCACTCTTTCTTCCCCTTCTCATACTCATCAGACAATCACTTTGCTTATTTACTTATTTGTACGTGGAGGTCTGCAAGTTGGCTCTCTCACCATGGGCATTGGGGACTGAATTTAAACCATCAGTCTTGGTGACTGGCACCTTTACCTGCTGAGCCACCTTGACAGCCCCTAAAATCATTTCTTCCTTTATTAGAACCCAGAAGGTCATATAAGAGGCAGGGATACGCCGGGCAGTGGTGACGCATGTCTTTAATCCCAACACTCAGGAGGCAGAGGCAGGCAGATCTCTGTGAGTTCAAGACCAGCCTGGTCTACAGAATGAGTTCCAGGACAACCTCCAAAGCCACAGAGAAACCCTGTCTCGAAAAACCAAAATAAATGAATGAATGAATGAATGAATGAATGAATGAATGAATGAATAAATAGAAGAAGCTGGGATACCACCAGAAAATATTTTTTCAGGCTTTATATTGTAACTATGGAACTCCTCTTGTTTAAGTTATTACTAAACAGGTAGCAGAAATTATAGTTGGTAATATGCTTGCTGGCTTTTTCTTTCTTTCCCTCCTGAACAGGATCAAGATACAGCCCAGGCAGGCCTCCAACTCATAATCTTACTCCATCAGTCTCCTGACTGCTAAGATTAGAGAGGCACAAACTATGCCTAATAAATTCCCTTTCAAAAGATTTATTTAAGCCGGGCGTTGGTGGCTCACGCCTTTAATCCCAGCACTTGGGAGGCAGAGGCAGGCGGATCTCTGCGAGTTCGAGGCCAGCCTGGTCTACAAGAGCTAGTTCCAGGACAGCCTCCAAAGCCACAGAGAAACCCTGTCTCGAAAAAAAAACCAAAAAACAAAAACAAACAAACAAAAAAAAAAGATTTATTTATTTTTATTTGATGAGTGTTTTGCCTGCATGTATGTTAGTACACCATATTCATACTTGGTGCTAGAAGAGAACATGGGATTCCTTAGAACTAGAGTTGCAGATGGTTATGAGCTATCATGTGAGTGCTGGAAACTGAAACTGGGTCTTCTGGAAGAACAGTCAATGCTCTTTTTTTGCTGGTTTTTGTAGAGACAGGGTTTCTCAATGTAGCCTGGCTGTCCTGGAACTCACTCTGTAGACTCAGAGATCCACCTGCCTCTACCTCCTGAGTGCTGGGATTAGTCAATAGCTGGAGCCATCTCTCCAGCCCCCAATTTTATACATACTTGTTTGTTTTGTTTTTTTGAGCAGGGTTTTACTATGTAGTTGTTCTTGAATTCATTAAATAGACAAGGCTGACCTCAGACTCATAGAGATTCACTTTGTCTCCCAAGTGGTGGGATTAAAGGTGTGTGCCACCACAACCAACACATATTTTTTAATCACAGAAAAAAATTTTAAATTAATATCACAGTATCTTTTCTTTGGCAATCACAACAGCAATCAATGAATAAAAAGACCCATATGAAAATTTCTAGGTAATACTAAATGCCAGACCTGTGGTTATTTCTAGTGCTGAGCATTGTGACCACAGCATCATACATGCTAAGTACAAGTTCCACTACAAGTTATAACTTTAGCCTCATTAATCAGTTATGTATTTTAGGCAACGTCTCATAATTCTCAGGCAAGCCTCAAACTTGAAATGTAGCCAAGGATGACTCTGATCATCCTGTCTCTACCTCCCAAGTGCTGAGATCACAGGGGTGCACCACCATGCTTGCTTTATGCTGCACTGGGGATAGATCTGGACTTTGTGTATGCTGGGCAAACACCCTATCAACAGAGCTACATCCCCAGTATAGCCCTGGTTGATAGGTAAGATCCTCAGGAGCTATAGGCAGTTGTTAGCTGCCATAGGGACTGGGAACAGAAATCTGGGTCCTCTGGAAGAGCAGGAAGCAGCACTGTTAACCATTGAGCCATCTCTCCAGTCTAGAGAAATTTTTTTTTTTAACTAGAGTGTTTGATCATAAATAAAAATCTGTTATTGAGCCGGGCGGTGGTGGCGCACGCCTTTAATCCCAGCACTCCGGAGGCAGAGGCAGGCGGATCTCTGTGAGTTCAAGGCCAGGCTGGACCGACAGCCTCCAAAACAATACAGAGAAACCCTGTCTCGTAAAAAACCAAAAAACCCAAAAAAAAAAAAAAATCTGTTATTGGGAGTAGTGGATAGTGCAAGTGCATGTCTATAATGCCTGTACTTGGGAACCTGAGGCAGGAGGAACCCAAGTGTGTGTGTGTTGATCTTGTCTCAAAAAAAAAAAAGAAGGAAAGGAAAAAGAAAAAACTTACAAAGATACACCTGCCTCTGCCTCCTGAGTGCTGGAGCCAAAAAAATTTTTTTCTTTTAAAATGAAATGGGGGGGCTGGAGAGATGGCTCAGTGGTTAAGAACACTGGCTGTACAGGGTTCAATTCCCAGCACCCACATGGCCATGGCAGCTCATGCCTGTTCATAACTGCAGTTCCAGCAGATCTGACACCCTCACACAGACATATGTGTAGGTAAACCACAAATGGACATAAAATAAAAATTAAAAAGAAAATCTTTTAACTACCAAGAACAGCAATAAGATTCTTATCATTACAAATAATCTGTACTATCTTGATACTATCAACACCTATGGTACTGAAGACAGGATCATAAGCTATAGTAGACACCAGCACACCATAAAGCTTACTTGATCATTATACTTTGTGCTTAGTTAATCATGCACTGTATACCTAAACATCTGTTCAGAGGATGGGAGGCATAGGTAGGTGTGTTCGAGGCTAGTCTGGTCTATACAGCTAGTTCTAGGATAGTCAGAGCAGAGCTATAGAGTGAGACTTTGTCTCCAAAACTAAAAACATTGTGAGAACAAATACAAACAAAAACATACCTTTACTTGATGTATATAAGAGTGCTGACTGAAAAGAAACCAGCTGAGTGTCAGTAAGGTTTTCTTCTACTGACATCTGCACCGCATACCCAGCATCTGGGTTGACATTGGGAAGAGACAGTAAGTCTGTAGAACGGACGAAGAAGTTCCCATGGAAAGTATGAATGGAAAGACCTAGAATAAAGAAATTATTAACATGATTGTTATGTGTTCACTTTTTCTTTATGTATTCTTTTACTTTTACTTTATGCATTTTCTTTGGAGATATGGTCTCTTAAAAAAAATGGAAACAACACATACAGCATAAAATTTACCATTTTCATGTACACAGTTCAGTAGTTTTAAATACATTGACAATATTCCATATTTTTTAAAGATTTATTGTTATCATTTTAAATTACGTGCATGTGTGTATCTATGTGCAGGTTTGTGCACATGAGTGTAGGTATCTACAGAAGCCAGAGGCATCAGGTCTCCTGGAGCTGGAGTTACAGATAGTTGCAAGTCAGTGTGACTGCTAGTGACATAGCTTGAGTCATTTGCAAGAGCAGTATGTACTCTTGGCTGCTGAGCCATTTCTCTAGCCCTAATACTGCCTGTCGTAAAATAGTTTTTCTCCTTTAACTGCATATTATATAATTTTACATTCTAAAACTCAGTAATATATCTTTGCATAATTTTACTGTATAAAAAAAACATGTAGGGGCTGGAGAGATGGCTCAGTGGTTAAGAGCACTGCCTGCTCTTCCAGAGATCCTGAGTTCAATTCCCAGCACCTACATGGTGATTCACAACCATTTGATGCTATCTTCTGGCAAGCAGGTGTTCATGCAGATACATGTACATAAAATAAATAAATCTTGAAAACAACAACATGTAGCCTTATGAGGGAAATAAAGTGTTCCCACCTTTGGTGCACCGGATCCTCATGACTGCCTCAAATCCAATCTTCCGAGTGAGGTATCTCTGTAGTTCCTTCTGGAATTTCTGCACTTGGACTGGATTGTGCTGATGATGGTAAGAGGGATAGTAATAAACACTGCCTGCTGAGTACCGAGAAATACAGCCTGGAAGAGAACACATACTCTTTTTAGTCACCTCTTCATTTACGCGCGCGCGCGCGCGCGCGTGTGTGTGTGTGTGTGTGTGCATGAGAGACAGAGACAGAGAGACAGAGAGAGAGAGAGAACACATACATATATCCTCAAGTTTTAAAGGTTTATTGTTGCTGGGCAGTGTTGGCGCACGCCTTTAACCCAGCACTTGGGAGGCAGGCAGAGGTAGGTGGATCTCTGTGTGTTCAAGACCAGCCTGGTCTACAAAAGCTAGTTCCACGACAGGCACCAAAGCTACAGAGAAACCCTGTCTCGAAAAACATAACAAAACAAACAAAAAGATTTATTGTTATTATTTTAAACTACGTGCAAGTGTGTGTCAGGTTTGTAACAGAGGCATCAATTTATTTGGAGCTGGAGTCATAGACAGCTGTGAACTAATGTAGTACTGGTAATATAACTTGGCTTCTATCTATCTGCACACATATAAACACACACACACACACACACATATATATATATATATATGCTTCATTCCTCAGCCTCTCAATACTCCTGTAGAACAGTAGCTACTAATACATCAAAGTAACTGCACACATTTTCCTTTGGCTTCTCAAGGTACCATCAAAAAGAATATTTTACTCCTTTATAATAGTGGCATAGCAAGCAAGCTCTCCACCTCCCTTTCACTAAGTTAAGAGTAGAGTGCCACTTGTAATGGTGTATGATTTTATTCCCAGCACTTGGACAGCGAGGGCTCTGTAGAGAGACCCTGTCTCAAAAAAAAAAAAAAGGTAGAAGAGTATTAGGTTTTTTTTTTTTTAATATTTATTATGTATACAGTGTTCTGCCTGCATGTATCCCTGCAGGCCAGAAGAGGGCACCAGATCTCATTACAGATGGTTGTGAGCCACCATGTGGTTGCTGGGGATTGAACTCAGAACCTCTGGAAGACCAGCCAGTGCTCTTAACCTCTGAGCCATCTCTCCAGCCCGAGTATGAGGTTTTAATACATTTGAACTGACTGACTAGCAATGTGGCTAGGCATGGTGGCACAGGCCTATGGTTTGAGCTACTTGAGAAGGTGGGGTGTGTGAGGATGGGAGACGGAATAATTACTGAGCTCAAGAGTGGAGAACACTTGCCTGGCATAGTAGCACACACCCTTAATCTCAGCACTCAGGAGGCAGAGGCAGGCAGATATCTGAGTTTCAGGCCAGCCTAATTTACAAAGTAAATTCCAGGACAGTCAATGCTACACTGATAAATGCTGTCTCAGAAAAAACAAAAATAAAAAATTGGAGAGAAGCATGGCTAACACAGCAAGATCCCATTTCAAAAACAGAACATTATCATAATAACATCATTTTGACATTCATTTTAAAAATCATTTAAAAAAGGACTTGCATGAGAACACACATCTGTAATTCCAGCTCTTGGGAGATGGCAGCAGAACAATTTGGAACTCAAGGTCATCCTGGGAACCAGGTGAAATTGAAGGTGAGCCTGGGCTACCTGAAACCTTGTCAAAAGAAAGAAAGAAAAGAGAGAGAGAGAAAGAGGTAAGAACTTACCTAGAGAAGCCAAATCAGAATACTGTCCACTGAGAAGGAATAAGTCAACAGCTGCCTGCTGGCCAGAACAGTCCAAGGCTAATTTCTTATAAAAGTCAGTGGATGGTGTCAGGTGTATTTCCTATTAATCGCAGGATAGAAAGAGAAAATTTTAAATTCATCAAAAAAATGTAAATATACACTTAGGTATACCGCAATGTTAAAGCACTTTCTGAGGACTTATGTTTATTCTGTTTATTATTAAAAAGAAATACTTTCATGCCAGGCATTGGTGGCACATGCCTTTATCCCAGCACTCAGGAGGCAGAGGCAGGTGGATCTCTGAGTTCGAGGGCCAGCCTGGTCTACAGAGCAAGTTCCAGGACAGGCAAACCCTGTCTCAAAAAAAAAAAAAAAAGTAAATACTTTCAAAAAAGAAAAGAAAAACTTCTATTACATTAATTTTGTAATAGACAAAGATAAAAGTATTATTTTAACTTTGGCCTACTAAATGCTCCATATGCTGGGGACATGCTAACAATTCATAAATGACATGTATTTAGTCATTTCAGCTACCCTAAGAGTTGGGCATTAGCATCATCTTCTCTTCATACACAAAGAAATAGAAGGATATAATATATCAGTTACTGATGTCTAACCCCTGTTTAATAGGCAATAGAACTTAGGCTGTCTAGTCATTAATAATATGGGAAGTATATGGTGGACCTGTTTTTCTCTTTTGGGAAATGCAAATTCCTAATTCACACACACAAGGAACTCAAAAGCAAGCAATCCCTGGCTGTTAATCTGCCTGATTACGACCCTTTCTTTTTTATTTTTATTTTTTATTCCTCTCCCCCCCTCCCCCCCTCCCTCTCTCTCTCTCTCCCCTCCCCTCATCCCCTCTCTACCAGGCTGGCCTCAAACTCAAGAAATCCGCCTGCCTCTGCCTCCCAAGTGCTGGGATTAAAGGTGTGCACCACCAATTCCCGGCCAGGTTCAATTTCTAAGAGCCTAAGATATTAAAGATGATAAAGCACAGATGTATCGGGCAGGTAGGAAAAAGAATAAAACAATCACATGCACATAAAAGTGAAACCCTTGCTGGGCGGTGGTGGCGCACAACTTTAGTCTCAGCATTCGGGAAGCAGAGGCAGGTGGAAAAACAAAAACAAAAAACAAAACAACAACAAAAAAAGTAAAAAAGTGAAACCCTTTATTCATTACCAACAGTCCCTCTTCTTCACAGCCAAGAAAATAATAAAGCAAACAAATGGAAAACAAGCTCTTAGGTCTAAGAGACAGTACTAGCACAGACCAGGCTATATACACCTAGTGGTCTAACCTTAGCAGATGACCTTTGGTTGGGTTCCTCCCGTGGTTTCAGGGCTCCTACACCAAGAGTTGGGAGTTGTGTTTGGAAGACCGACATTCGACCCCCAGTTGGTGACATTAGCTTGAATGCAGCCTGCAGTGCAGGACCCAAGGCACTCTGGGTCTCCAGTGTCTTAGTAAACATCTGTGGCAAACTTTTCAGTAAATCTTGGACAAGCTTATGAAATAAATCAAGAAAACTCGAGAATGTTACAATTACATTTTTTCCACAATAAATCATTATCTAATACAATAGACAGGACACTGAATCATGATGATGGTCAGAGAATCTATGGACACTACAAGAAACAATGAAGTTGGTCAATGACAAGAAAGCCATTTTAAGTAAACATTATAAATTGGCAAGCAAGACATCAAAACTGGAGCCTTACAGTTCTTGCACATGCAATAGTCCAGCAAGACTGTAAGTCCAGCATGTATTCAATTTAGAAATTTGTCTATTTTAAAGCCAGGAATATGGCTTTCTCCATCACCTTTACATACTTTATTCTCTTAAGTTCCAAAGTGAGTTTAACTCCTCCCTGTTGCAAAATCTAAGATAGTCAGTAACAATGCCAACTAGTAGTGTTACTACAAAAGAAAAAGAAAGTCAAACCAACTGCCTCTTTAAGTTAGGTTGTACAGATAAAAGAGAATTACTGGGGAAAATATTCTGTGCTACACAGCACAGTCCCCACTGATGAAAGCGGGGCCCACAGACTTGCTAGTTCAATGTTGCCCTACGCCATATATGCAGGTACAGGGTAGACAACATCCCCCCTTCAGACACACTCTGTTCACCTCTCACTGCATTATGTCATGGCAATTTCCAGGCAGGTAATAAGAGTTTCTTCTGAACTGACCCAATGACACTCTGTGAATCAGAAAAGCAAAAGCACTGAGAGCAGCCTGGCTATGTGCTTCTGTGCAGTGACCAGCAGTGTTCTTTCAGCAACCCTCCCTCTCCCACATGGCCTCAGACCACACCTCCTCCAGGTGCTCTTCCTCCTGGAAGAGGCATAGCTTCTGCTCCACAACAAAGAACCTGCTGCCTTAGACTAAAAGACGATCAGTATACAACTGATCTCAAGAACCATCCATCCAGTGAACTTAAACTAAGAGTAGATATAAAATGATACATAGCCTAAAGTATCAAAGAAAAAGCAAAATCTAAAGTTCATTTCAGAAATATGCATTGTGTTAAAATAAAATGGCAGGAAGGAAAGTATGCCTTACCTCTTTACTTTCATTTAGGTTTACTAGTAAGTTCTCTGGCATAGGTATAAAAACATCTGAAAGAATAAAGAAGCACTAATTTTATTATTTATCTTTTGTTGTTGTTTTTTGAAGTAGGATTTCTCTGTGTAGCCCTGGCTGCCATGACATTGTTAATGTAGACCAGTCTGACCTGGAACTCACAAGAGATCCACCTGCATCTGCCTCCCAAGTGCTAGGATTAATGCTATGTGGTTACTACACTTGTTAAAGACACATTTTTAATATTAGACAGCTATGGGATTAAAGAGATGGGTCAGTGGTTAAGACCACTAGCTGCTCTTCTAGAGGATCAGTTCCCAGCATTCATACTGGAATTCCAGTTCCAGGGGATGAAACACTACCTTCTGACTTTTGTAGATAATAGTTAACAGAAAATACAAGAATGTTTTGAGACAAGATCTCACTATGTAGTTCTGGCTGTCCTCAAACTCACAGAGATCCGCCTGTCTCTGCCTCCCTGCTGAGATTAAAGGTGTGCCCCACTATGTTCACCAAGAATGCTTTAGTTTTATCTGAAATAATAGTTTACTAGTATTTTTGTCACTCAGATGGCAGATGCTTCTTCATAAAGGAAATTCCAAACCAGTGCCCTACTAACAGGACTACAAATGCAGGTGAACCAGAAGTTGCTCTCATCATTTTAAGTGAGCCTCTCAGAATATTTGTTCTTTCATTTACTCATTTGGTGATGTGGTTTTGTTTTGAATTTTTAATGTCCATGTGCGTATATGCCAGTGCATGTGGAAGCCAGAAGACAGCCTTGAGTAGCATGTTCAGAAATACCACCCACTTCCTTTGAGACACGATCTTTCATTGGCCTGCAGCTCACCAGTTAGGCTAGGCTGGCTGGCCTTCGAGGCCCAGGTATCTGTGTCTTTCAAGTACACCACCACATGGGCCTGACATTCTTAAGTTGGTTCTGGAGGTAGAACTCAGGTCCTTAGGCTTGCAAGGCAAGCACTTTTATTGACAGAGCTATCTCCTTAGCCCCTTGCTTGGTTTAGAGACAAGGTTTTACTATGTAGTCCAAACTGACTTGGATCATCTTTCTGCTTCTGTCTCAATAGTGCAGAAATCACAGTGTACTACCATGTCCAATTTATAAAATACTGTTAAAAGAAAAATTCCTGCTCAAGGCCAGCCTAGGGTGTATGAGACCGGGTCTGAAAACAATTTAATTATTTCATTAAAATCTTTACTTTTTGACAAGTAAATATAGAAACTGACTCCTTATAATTTTCCGTGCACCCTTATTTTCTTCCTAGTTTGATTCCATCTAAGAAAAGAAATTTGATTCCTAAGAAAAATAAGTTTTGAATGTATTGTCCACATTAAATCGATTATTAGGCCTGGAGATGTGGCTCAGTGTTACTTTTCCAGAGGATGCTAGTTCAAATCCCAGCACCCATGTCAGGCACTCACAACTACCGATAACTCCAACTTCAGGGGATCCAATGTCCTCTTCTGGCCCCTGCTGACACCAGCAGAAACAGAGACGCATAGATAAAATAAATAAATTTATTATCAGATATGTAATTACAAGTATTTCCTCCCCCTCCTATATGCTATATTCTCTTATAAACTAGTTGTTTTTCTTTTGCAGTGCCAGGGATCAAACCCAGGGCCTTGCATTGTGAAGTGAGCACTCTACTACTTAGTTAATTCCCTAGTCATAAAAGCCTATTAAGACAGGGCTTTACTATGCAGCTGTGTAACAATCATAGCTGTCTTAGAACTTGCTCTGCAGACCAGGTTGGCCTCAAACTCACAAAGATCTACCTGCCTCTTCCTTGTGAATACGGGATTAAAGGAATGCATCAGTATCAACCGACCTTACCATGCATGGTTTTATGTGGTATTGTGATCAAACTTTGGGATCCATGAATGCTAGATAAGAACTTACCAAATAAGTCACTCCAGGCTACTAGCAAAGTTATTTATTTTTATATTTATTTGTGTGCAATAGAGGGAGATGCACAGCATGCATGTGGAGTTCAGAAGACAGCATAGAGGAGTTCATTTTCTCCATCTACTTTTTAAGAGTTATTTATTATGTATATAGCGTTCTGCTTGCATGTTACCTGCACACCAGAAGAGGGCACCAGATCTCATTACAGATGGTTGTAAACCACCATGTGGCTACTGGGAATTGAACTCAGTACCTCTGGAAGAGTAGCCAGTGCTCTTAACCTCTGAGCTAACTCACTAGACTCCAAGTTTTATATTTTTAATTTTTCTTCTTCTTCTCCTCCTCTTCCTTTTTTTTTTTTTTTTTTAAAACAATGCCTTACTACATAGCACTGGCTGTCCTGGAATTCACTATGTAGACCAGGCTGGCAAGGAACTCAGGGTCCACTTGCCTCTGCCTCTGCCTCTGGGTGCTGGAATTAAAGATGTGTCCCACATGATCTTTTTTTTTAATAAATATTTTTAACTCAAGTTTACTTTTTTCTGGTTTTGTTTGTTTGTTTGTTTGTTTTGAGACAGGGTCTCACTATCTCTCCCTGGCTGCCCTGGCCCTCACAATGCAGACTAGGGTGACCTCAGACTAAAGTGATTCTCCTGTCTCCTTCTTCCAAGCTCTGGGGTCACAGGCATGTGCTACCTACTTAATATTCTTTAAACAGTACAGTCATGTTCTTTAGTATGTCTAGTTTTCCCTCACTGAGCCTTGGAATCGTAAACTAACTGACTGTTTCCCTAGGGCCTATTTTTGAGCTTCAGTATCTCTTTTTCTTCCCAGTCTACACTCAAGTTCCTCTGTTGTCTGTGTGGCACAGGTAGGAACTCACCTGCACGACTCCACCCATGGTCCTCAGGAACTTCTTCACTGCTACATATCTCACAGACTCTAACACCAACTTGTCTGTGTTCCCTTGCTCAGAAATCACTTCTCCATAACCCTTTTGCTCTCTGATAAAATAAGAGACTGGACTTAAAGATTCTGACAACTCCATCAATCTAATATTTTTCTACCCAAGACTTCCCTTCAGCCTGGTAAGGTGTCATATAAGTTTAAGGCCAGCCTGACCTATCCAGTGGTTTGAGCTCTGAAACACAGTTTTTTTTCTACATTACTAGAGTCATGCCACACAATACCGATTCACCAAACACTCAGGAAAATTCTCCAGGCAATTCAGTGAGTTTAAGTGTCTAACACTTACCATCAATATCTGAAACTATTAGCATCTGAGGCTGGGAGAGACCTTCTTGAAGACTGTAGAAATGAATAGTGCTATCAAATGTTATGAAGCCAATTTTTGTCCTAGTGTTGCCAGGAAGCCTGGAAATAAATTCACAAGGAAGTTTTAATCAGTGTTCACACACACACACACACACACACACACACACACACACATTCTCATTCTCTCTCTCTCTCTCTCTCTCTCTCTCTCTCTCTCTCTCTCTCTCTCTCTCTCTCTCTCTCTCTCTCTCTCTCTCTCTGCTAATTGTCATGGGTAAGTAGCCAATGTAATAGTATAGAAAGTGACCCAGTATAAATAGGCATTTACATCAGCCAATGTTTACCTGCTATGAAAATAACCTCCTCCCTATGTGAAAAACCAAATAATCAACAAAAGGCAGTAATGCTACAGCAATTTAAAATCAACTGCTTCTATATAGTTATAATTTCTTGGCATATGTGAGTTTTTTAAAAGCCTGGAAAATATGTACAAAAGTGGGCTCAATTTCAAGTTAATTTTTAAATAATGCTTCAGGGGCTGGGGATTTAGCTCAGTGGTTGAGAACATGGCAGACAGGTGTTAAGGCCCTGGGTTCAGTCTCTAGCACACAGGAAAAAAGAACGCTTCAAAAAATGATAGAGCATTTTAAAATGCATTGTAGGGGCTGGAGATGGCTCAGTGGTTAAGAGCACTGGCTGATCTTGCAGAGGACCCAATTCAATTCCCAGCACCCACATGGCAGCTCACAACCATCTGAAACTTCAGTTCAAGAGGACTGAATGTTCTTTTCTGACCTCCTCTGGTACCTGGCACACATATGGTACACATAAATACATGCAAGTAAAACACTCATACACACCGGGCGTTGGTGGCACACTCCTTTAATCCTAGCACTCGGGAGGCAGAGGCAGGTGAATCTCTGTGAGTTCAAGACTAGTGTGGTCTACAAGAGCTAGTTCCATGACAGCCTCCAAAAACAAAACAACAACAAACAAAAAAACCCACCAAACCACTCATACACACATAAAAAAACAAAATCTTTAAAAAAGAAATTAAAATGAAATAACTACGGCATCTATTTAAAACAATTACATAAACCTTTTATTTTATTTAACGCCTATAAGAACAAAAAGGAGCAAAAGTATCTTCTTTAAAGGACCCAACATATGGAACAAAATTAGTGAGAAAGGAACTAGCTTCCAGCCTTTTCCATGCCTGGGTGTCTTAAAGTACCTTCTCAGCCGCACAGTCACCACATAATATACAGCCTAGAACATGAGATACAAATACAGATAGGAGAAAGAATGCGCTTTTGGCCAATGTGAAGGAGCTGCGATGAAATCTGGCCTATGCATTTCTTGTATTAAAAGTTCACACTAATTTTTATAAATTCTATCCTGTGTACATAACATTTAAAACATATGCATTAAACTGGGTGAAGCTGGGTGGTGGTAGCACATGCCTTTAATCCCAGCATTTGGGAGGCAGAAGCAGGCAGATCTCTGTGAGTTCAAGGTCAGCCTGGTCTACAGAGTGATTTTTCAGGACAGTCAGGAATGTTAAACAGAGAAACACTGTCTTGAAAACCTGTCCCCATCATGAAAGTCCATGAAATGATTGCTAACGATACTCTGCTATTCTCATAGATTGGTGCCTAGGCCAATTGTCATCACAGAGACTTCATCCAGCAACTGATGAAAACAGATGCAGAGACCCACAGCTCAACATTAGTAGAATTCGGGGAATCCTATGCAAGAGGGGAGGAAGGATTACAGGAGCCAGAGGGGCCAGAGGGGTCATGGACAACACAAGAAAACCCACAGAATCAACTGACCTGGGCTCACAGAGACTGAACTGACAACCAGGGAGCCTGAGTGGAAGCAGGGGCTGTCTCTGACCCTGCTGTCTGCTTTGGGGACCCTTCCTTCTATTGGGTTTCCTTGTCCAGCCTTAATAGGAGAGGAGGTGCCTAGTGTCAATATAATGATATAATAGCATGGCTGGTTCATATCCATGGCAGGCCTGCCCTTTTCTGAAGAGAATGGAGGAGAAGTGGGTGGGGGAAGACAGGCTGGCTGAGAGGAGAGAGAGGGAAAACTGTGGGGTCTGGATATAAAAATAAATAAAATATTAAAAATACATATATATAAATTACAAATCAAGCCAGGCATTAGTGGTACACGCCTTTAATACCAGCACTTGGGAGGCAGAGCCAGGCAGATCTCTGTGAGTTTGAGGTCAGTGTGGTCTATAGAGCAAGTTCCAGAACAGCCTCCAAAACAATAGAAACGCTGTCTCAAAAAGCCAAAAAAAAAAAAAAAATCATACCATGACTAGGCACAGTAGCTCACATCTATAATACCAGCGCTCAAGAGGCCAAAACAAGAAGAGAGCTGAAGGTGTAAGGACAGTGAATTTGAGGCCTATCTTGACTACAGAGTAAGATCTTGTACTTAAAAAGCCTGGATGTATTTAAAGGTAAAATGATATGATGGCAGAGACTTGCTTGAAAACAGTCAAGTAGAAAAGGTGTATGAAAGAGGATTACATGAAGCAAAACCAGCAGCATGCTGAAGGTGACAGGCGTGGGGGGTGGGGCCTCCTCAGACTCCTCTTCCCATTTACTCTAAGACCCAAGCTAACCCAACCCATTAAGTGGTCCTTTAGAACAGCATTATGCACCTTTAAAATAAACTAAGTGCTCATTTTGAAGATACGGTCTCTTTCAAATTAAGCTGAATTAAGACACTTACAGATCCAGATTGTCTAATAAACTCTGGCAAACCGAATTCAAGTATCCAGTTTCTATTGCGTTGTGAGATACGTCAAACACAAAGAGGTACACTGGAGGTTGTGGTGGTCGTAACTAGAGGGAAAAAGGATTCAATTAAATACATCCAACCGAATTACATTTAAATTTACATGCTGGCGTCCCATACAGCAAACCTACAACAAGCGCTATTAAAGGGCTGCGTGGAGGCAGCAGTGAACCACTTCCCATCTACCACAGGCTCTAAGTAAGACCTAAGCTGACATATTTAAGTGGTCCTTTAGAACATAATTAAGAACCTTTGAAACAAACTGATGGCTCATTTTGAAGACACTACCCATTTCAAACGTAAGGGAAGTGTGTGCACAGTTCAGAAGCGCTCTCTCTCGCAGGAAAGAGTGTGTGCAATCAGAGGGCTCTGGCAGTACTGGCCACGCTCTCATCTTTTTCTTTTCTTTTTAATGTGTAGAGTGTTTTGCCTGCACGCTTGTGCACCATGTGCAGATGCCTGGAAGCCAGAAAGGAATGTTGGATCCCCTGGAACTGTAGTACAGATGGGTGTCAGCTCTCATGTACGTGCTGAGAATCAAACCAGGGTCTCCTGGAAGTCTACCAGTGTTTTTAACCCCTGAGACATCTCTGCAGCACCTAATGTTACAATATTGGTCAAGACAGTACTAACAAAGGTGGCTTACTTCATAATTATTTGATAACGTATGTACTTATGTTTGACTGACTTTTCTATTGAGCAAATTTCTTCATCATCACCATCATCTGTTTTGTTTTGTTTTGTTTTTGAAAGTGTTTCTCTATGTAATCCTGGCTGTACTGGAACTCACTCTGTAGACAGGCTGGCCTTGAACTCACAGAGATCCACATGCCTTTACCTCCTAAGCGCTAGAATTAAAGGCATGTGCCACCACACTTGGCTGGGAGAGCAGATGCTTGAGCTCTTTAATTTGACAAAGTGCAGAGAACTGTTACTAATCACTTCAGCAACTCAAAGAATTAAAAAAAAAAAAAAAGCCAGGCGCATGCCTTTAATCCCAGCATTTGGGAGGCAGAGGCAGGTGGATTTCTGTGAATTTGAGGCCAGCCTGGTCTACAGAGTGAGTTCCAGGACAACATCCAAAACAATACAGAAAAACCCTGTCTCGGAAAAACCAAAAAAAAAAAAAAAAAAAAAAAAAAAAACAGACCACCCCTCATAAATTACATAATAAAATGGATTCAACCTCACATGTAAGTGCAAAATACTATATACACTCCAAAATAGGGAGACAGATCGCTTTACGTGTTTGCCATACATGCAAGAGAACCCGAGTTTGATCCCCAGAGCCCATGTGAAGAATCTAGGGTGTTGGCTTGAGTTGTAAGCAGTATAACGAGCAGAGACAGGAGGGTCCCTTGGGCTCTCTAACCAGCTAGCCCACCCTAATCAGTGAGTCCCAGGTCAATGAGAGGGCACCAAAAATGGCTCAGAGCTAAAGAGCACTGGCTGCTCTTCCAGAGGTCCTGAGTTCAATTCCCAGCAACCATATGATGGCTCACAACCATCTGTAATGAGATCTGGTGCCCTCTTCTGGCCTGCAGGGATACAGAACACTGTATACATAATAAATAAAATAATAGGGCTGGAGAGATGGCTCAGAGGTTAAGAGCACTGACTGCTCTTCCAGAGGTCCTGAGTTCAATTCCCAGCAACCACATGGTGCCTCACAACCATCTGTAATGAGATCTGGTGCCCTCTTCTGGTCTGCAGACATACATGGAGGAAGGATGTTGTATTCATAATAAATAAATAAATAAATCTTTTTAAAAAAATAATAAATCTTAAAACAAACAAACAAAAAAAATCAAGGTGGGTTGGCTTAGAAATGCATGCCCTAAATCCCAGTTTGTCTCAAAAAGAGGCAGGTGGATCTCAATGAGTTCAAGGCCAGTCTGGTCTCCAGTGTTCCAGGACAGTCAGAGCTACATAATGAGACCCTGGTTCAAATAAAGAGCAAAAATCATGATAGATGACACCTGAGGAATGAGATTAGAGGATGCTCTCTGTCTTACATGATTACACACACACACACACACACATACATACTACAATAATAAACTAGAAATAAAGACTGGTATTACATGTTAGTGTCATTTTCACATTCCTTTTTCTCAGACGCAATTAAGACTTAGTAAAAGAAAGAGAACCTAAATCAAGAGGCCTAGGCTCTTTGTTTTATTTATTTATTTTATGTGTATGTGTGAATGCCAGCATGCACACATGTATGTGTACTGCTTACACGCAGTGCACACAGAGACCAGAAGAGGGCTTCAGATCTCCTGAAATCAGAATTACAACTTGGGTCCTCTTGTAAGAGCAGTCAGAGTTCTTAACCCTAAACCATATCTCCAGCCCCTGGAGCTTTTTTGTTTTGTAGATTACTTTATATAGCCCACACTGGCCTAACTCACATAAAAGGCAGGCTTGACCTTTTTTTGTTTGTTTAAAGATTTTATTTATTATATATATATAGTGTTCTGTCTGCTTGTATGCCTGAAGGTCAGAAGAGGGCACAGATCTCATTACAGATGGTTGTGAGCCACCATGTGGTTGCTGGGAATTGAACTCAGGACCTCTGGAAGAGCAGTTGGTGCTCTTAACCTCTGAGCCATCTCTCCAGCCCCAGGCTTGAACTTCTAATCCTCCTGCCTGCCTCTTTTTTTTTTTTTTTTTTTTTTTTTAAGATTTTATGCCAGAAGAGGACATCAGATCCCACTATAGATGGTTGTGAGCCACCATGTAGGTGCTGGAATTAAACTCAGGACCTCTGGAAGAGTAACCAGTGCTCTTAATCTCTGAGCCATCTCTCCAGCCCCCTTGCCTCTACCTCTTAAGTGCCTGGATTACACAGCATTATTTGTAAAACACATGTCTGATTTGACTGATATATATATATATATAATCCTAATAGTATATTACAAATTGCCTGGTACAGACAAGATACTGATGCTGTGGAATATTCCTGTAAACTGTGTAAATCATGCTCTGATTGGTTTAGTAAGGAGCTGACTGACCAACAGGCAGGCAGGATAAGGTTAGGCGGAAAAAACAAAATAAGAAAGGGAAGAAAGGTGGAGTGAAGGAAACCCAGGCTGGCTGCTGGGAAGGCAAGATGCTAGAGGGCAGGTAAAGCCACGTGGTAATACATAGATTAATATAAATGGGTTAACTTAAATGTGAGAACTACTTAATAATAAGCCTGAGCTATCAGCAAAGCAGTTGTATTTAATATAAGCCTCTGAATGGTTATTTGGGAATCAGTAGGCAGGAGAGAAACATCCGTTTACCCACTAAAGGGGAACTTCACACACCTTTACTCTCTGAATATCTTAATCTAATTACATGTGTGTATGTGCATGCATGTGCACATATGTGATGATGTGTGCACATGTGGGTATATGCACATCATAGCAAATGAATGGAAGTCAAAAGATAACTTTCAGGATCTGGTTTTCTCCTTGCACCTTCGGGTGGGTTCCGGGAATGGGATTCAGGTCCTAGGCTTGCACAGCAAGCATTTCTACTTGTTGAACAAATACTTTCTCAGCTAAAAACAGAATTTTGTTAAAAGTTATTATATTGTTTTATTTAAAATTCAGTATTATAGCTGGGGTTATGGCTCACAACCATAATCACATCATTTGGAAGCCTAAAGTAGGAGAATTATGGGAACTTTGAAGCTAGCCTCAGCTAACTAGCAAATACCAGGCCAACCATGGCTACATAGCAAGATCCTTTCTCAAAATAAAATAATCAGCATACCCCCCTCCTCAAAAAAAAGAAAAGAAAAGTAAAAGAATGCTTACCATGCCAGGCGTTGGTGGCGCATGCCTTTAGTCCCGGCACTTGGGAGGCAGAGGCAGGTGGATCTCTACGAATTCAAGGCCAGCCTGGTCTGCAGAGTGAGTTTCAGGACAGGCTCCAAAGCTACACAGGAAATCCTATCTCAAAAAAAAAAAAAAAAAAAAACCCAGAAAAGAAAGAATGCTTACCATGTATTCTGAAGGAGCCATAAACTCAATAGTAGCATTCTGAACTTCAGGCCTTCTGTGAGGTTCTCCATAAACTCTGGTTAAAGGGTTGTACATGAATTCTTCAGGAACTGTGCAATACAAGCAATATATTGATAAAAGGATTAACTCAATACCATGCATTTGTATATTTTAATTTACATGTTGTAATTAATTTAATTCAAGCTAAAAATAAAGTAACAATTAACTTTTAAAAGGGGCTCCATTAAAAAAAGGGGGCTCCATTTAAGCTCCTCCCACAATAGATGGCTATAAGAGGCTTTGCTGACAACTGTAGTTACTGTGACTTTCCCCAGCACTTGATGTCTTGTCAAAATTCTTTTTGTTGTTGTTTGTTTTTTTGAGACAGAGTTCCTCTGTGTAATAGCCCTGGCTGTCCTGAAACTCCACCTGTAGAGCAGGCTAGTCTCAGACTTACATTAAATGTCACTTGTCTTCCTAAATCTCACAACTGTACAAAGATTAACCTTTGACACAGAAGATATAAAGACTGGTTTCATTAATACCAATTGCCTTTATACAACACCAGTTGCCTCAACTTGTTATTCACTATGCTCAGAGCTGTCACTGAAACCCAGCCTGCCAGGAATTGCTTAAATCTTTAGCCTGGGTGAGGTGATACATGCCTATGATCCCAGCATGTGAGAGACTGAGGCCAGAGGGGGGGAGGGGTCACTAAATTAGGTGTCAGCCTAGGCTACCTAGCAAATAAATACCAGGCCAACCTGGGGTAGTATGTAAGTCCCTGTCTCAAAAATTAAAGGGCCAGCAAGATGACACAGCTGGTCAGGGTAGCTGCTGCCAAGTTTAACAACAACCTGAGTTTGACCCTAGAACCCACACTGGGGACAGAGGTTACTGACTCCTGCCAAGCTGCCCTCTTATCTCCATGTGCATGTTGTAGCATGTGTCTCCTACCCCCCCACACACACACAAAGTAAATAAACGTGATTAAAAAATTAGCAAATGAGTCACAACGACCAGCACCAATCTAAAATCTTTATGTACTCAAAGGGTAAGCTATAGTTTATTAAGCAGCTCAATGGCACATGAAGGAGGCTACAACTTGGACAGGGTCTCTGTGGCTGTCCTGGCACTCAATTTGTAGACCAGGCTGGCCTAGAACTCACAGAGATCGACCTGCCCTTGCGTCTTGGGTGCTGGGATTAAAGGCCTGCACCACTACCACTTGGCTAGGAGGCTACAGCTTTTATCACAACTTCATTTGTGCATTACTGAACATATACTCAAGATTTTAAAGGTGATGGCCAGTGGTGGTGGTGCAGGCCTTTAATCCTAGCACTCCGGAGGCAGAGGCAGGCGGATCTCTGTGAGTTCGAGGCCAGGCTAGACCGATAGCCTCCGAAACAATACAGAGAAACCCTGTCTCGTAAAAACAAAACAAAACAAAACAAAATCCCATTTCGAGGTCAACCTAGTCTACATAGCGAGTTCCAGGACAGTCATGGCTACATAGAGAAACCCTGTGTCAAAAAAAAAAAAAAAACAAAACAGACAAAAAACAACAACAAAAGATTAGGAATTAAACACTATATATTTTCTCCTGAATTTTTATAAAGTAGAGAATATACTTGGTTTTGCTTTGTAGCCCAGGCCAGTCTTTAGCCTCTTCAAGGGTTCAGGTTACAGGTTTGTGACACCACACTCAGCTATAGTCTCAACTCTTAATTAAATTTCTTCCAAAAATATATTTAATCTTTTCCTCTCTTGTCCTCTTCTCTCTCTCTCTCTCTCTCTCTCTCCCCTTTGTCTCTCTCTCTCTCTCTGAGTAGTCAAGGTCTGCCCAGGTTGGCTTTGAACTCTCCTGTATAGTTCAGGGATAACCCGCTGCCTCTGTCTCCCAAGTGCTAAGAATTCTAACAGAGTGCCGTTGGTAATATGATACTCTTCAAATATAAATTATGAAGTAGTTACTGAGAGAGCACGCCTCTTCTTCAGTTACTGATCAACTAACCTAGTACTGCCCCACTCTGTCCAAAACCAGTGAGGGAATAAGGCAACTGGCACGTATGGACGTACTTTCTTTTACCCTTGGGGGAAAATTGTACAAATTAATTTCAAAACAAAGTATTTATGGCTGAAGACAGCTTAGTGGGCAGAGTGCAATCTCCAGCACTACATAAACTGGGTATGGCAGCATATACCTGTAATCCTAGCACTCAGTAGGAAGAGGAAAGAGGACCAGAAGTTCAAGGCATCCTTAGCTGCACAGTGATTTCAGACTAGCCAGGGACACGTGAGAAACTGTCCCAAATAAAACAAAACAAAAGCCGGGCGTTGGTGGCGCACGCCTTTAATCCCAGCACTCGGGAGGCAGAGGCAGGCGAATCTCTGTGAATTTGAGACCAGCCTGGACTAACAAGCGAGTTCCAGGACAGCCTCCAAAGCCACAGAGAAACCCTGTCTCAAAAAACCAAAAAAAAAAAAAAAAAAAAAAAAAAAAAAACTTACATAATACTGTGAACTATTCCACTTACAGTCTCAAAATGATAAATGTAAAATATTGTCTCAAAATTATCTCTTTTCTACCTGAAAATACTTATTTTTATGTATAAAGGCATAAAAAAGGTAACAGTAACCATCTGAACTAAGACTGATTATCTGTAGATCAAGTAAATAAAAGGGCTGTTTTTCTTTTTTTCAAGACAGGGTTTTTCTCTGTGTAGCCCTGGCTGTTCTGGAACTTGCTCTGTAGACCAGGCTGGTCTCAAACTCACAGAGATCCGCCTGCCTCTGCTTCCTGACTGCTGGAATTGAAGGTGTGCCCCATCACTTCTCAGCTAAAGGCTGTTTTTCTTGAGCTGGGCTACCATCCTGCTCAGACTCCCTAGTGGTTAGAATTAGAGGTCCTTGTGCTGTCTCTGTCTCTCTCAAGACAGGCTCTCTCTCTATATAGACCAGGCTCTACCTGCCTCTACCCTCTGAGTACTGGGATTAAAGAGGTGAACCACCAAGCTCAACTCTTGTCATTTCCTATTTTTTTATTACCTGCTTTTCTCTACATTGCAAGTAAAAATTAGAAAGTGTTTCAAAGGGCTGGAGAAACAGCTCATCATTAAGAGTGTATACTACTTTTGCGGAGGATCCCAATTCAGTTCCCAACACCCACATCAGGCAGTTCACAATCACCTGGAACTCCAGCTGCAGAGGGATCAGATGCCTACACACACACACACACACACACACACACACACACACACACAAATTAAAACAAATTTTTTGTTGTTGCTTTTTTGAGATGGGGTTTTTCTGTGTAGCCATGGCTGTCCTGGATCTCACTCTGTAGAACAGGCCAGCCTTGAACTCACAGGTACCACCACCATCTGACTAAGTAAGTTTTTTAAGACAATGTTTCAAAAATGCATACCATCATTGACTCGATAACATAAGTTACATTTCCATCTTCTTTGATCAAGAAAGTTGACAAAAGGGTTGATGTAAGTCCTGCATGAACGGCATCTCACAATTGTACTGGAGGTGACTACAGGCAATTGCTGGAGAAAAAAAAAAAGCAAAGTTGTTAAAGGCAATGTTCGTTAAGTTGAACAAGAAGACATTAATCTATCCCTTCCAAATAACTAGCAAGACATTGTGTGGCCTCCACAATAAAATGTATCAGACAGGTCTCACCATGTTGCCCAGATTAGTTTCAAACTCCTGGACCCAAGTAATCTTTCTGTCTCAGCTCTCAGAGGAGAAAGTATATTCTAAAACAATGAAGAGTGAAACTGTTGCATAGTCTGACTTTATATTAAGAGACCTTAATTCTCTTATAACTATTACAAAGTTAAATGGTATTAAGCTTATCAACTAGTGGGTAAAAGCATTTTGTAGTACAAGCCTGATGCCCTGAGTTTGATCCCCAAAGCCCATGTCAAAAACTGGATGGTGTGGCAAGTATCTGTAATCCCAACAATTCTACTGTGGTATGGGAGGTGGAGACAGGAGAACCACCCAGAAATCCTTAGGCCAGCTAGCCCAGAGTTCACAGCACAGCACAAACAAGATAGACTGTCTCAATTAAGTTTGGAAGGTGAGAACTGACTCATAAAATGTTTCTGACCTCCACCTGCAAGCATTCAAACTCACATATCTATATCATACATACACAGTAATAACAAAATAAAAAACAAAATTTCTCAGTCTTCATATAAAACAAAACAAAACCCTCAACTCAGTAAGGGAAGCCAAATCTTGTGGCCCATACTTATAATTCTAGCATTCCAAAGGCCAAGACAGAAGGATTCTTATCAGTTCAAGGCCAGTCTGAGCTACATAAGAGCACAAAACAGAATCTTTAATCAAACAAACAAACAAAAATCAATAAAGGGGTTGCATAGTCTAACTTAGGTGTGCAGCACCTGTCCAGCATTTTTTATTATAATCCCCAATACAACCACAATTAATCAACCAATCAGACAATAAATCCCACCAACCACATGGTGATTCTCAAGAGAATGAGAACATGTTTGATCCCAGAGAATTAGGACAAAAGTGATGTAAAGCTTTTTTAGATTTTATAACAACTTCTATTTTATTTTATTTACGTATGGGCAGCAACTTCTTAGAGCAATTGACTTTACTCCAAAAGCAGCAAAGTGGGAAAGCTAGGGTAAACTATTTTAATGGTAATTTACAATTTAGTTAAATAGAATAGTTCTTTTTTTTTTTTTTTTGCCTATTTTTAAAGAAGTGTCTCAGGGATTAGAAAGACGGCTCAGTGGTGGTGGCACACACCTTTAATCCCAGCACTCGGGAGGCAGAGACAGGCGGATCTCTGTGAGTTCGAGACCAGCCTGGTCTACAGAGCGAGTTCCAGGACAGCTTCCAAAGCTACAGAGAAACCCTGTCTTGAAAAACCAAAAAAAAAAAAAAAAAAAAAAGGAAAAAAGATTCCTGATCACTCTTCCAGAGAACTCTCCCAGAGTTCTAACAGCAGTCTGCGACTCCAAGACCTGACATCCTTACACAGACATATGTGCAGGCAAAGCATCAATGCACATAAAATATGAATAAAGAAATTATTTTTTCTTAAAGTGTCTAAGTATGTAGCTCAGACTTGCCTTAAACTTAAAATCCTCCTGTCTTAGTTCCCTGAATGTTGTAATTGCAAGTGTGCACCACCACGCCTGGGTACAATTTTTGTTGTTATTGTTTATGTCCATCTATATAGCATCCCTTGGGTTTTTCAACAATACTTCTCTTACCTTGTTCTTAAATTGTAATAAATTGTTGTTTGAGTTAGAAATTAAAAATGAAAATAACTCTGCCACATAACAGACTTTATATTCATTCTTACACTATTGCAGAAACACTTCACCACTTAAATAATATCCACAAAACATTTACTTCCTCTAAAGAAGCATACCACTAGATCTTTAAAAGGGTGGAGCAGCAGCCCCAAAGGAAGCTTGGCTTTATTCAGTAAGGCCTGAGTCTGAGGGATGTTAGTCAGCGTGCATCGAAATAACCTGTTGGGGGAGAAAATGCACATGTCAACTGCTGTTATCATTATTTATTAAATGAAATAAAAAAGCGCATACTTTAATCTTAGATCAGATTACAAATGAATCATAGACCTTAAATTTTATATTTTTTAAATATTTAAATTGCCATATATGCCACACATAATGAATCCAGGTCCCAGGAAGCTGAGGCACTAGGATTACATTTTTGAAGTCAGCTTGGGCCACAGTGAGACCATATCTCAAGAAACTAAAATAGAAAATTAAATCAAAGACCTACTATTCATAAAGAATAGTCTCATCTGGCTTCTATGTAAAATAGTCTGGACTAGCCAGGCATTGGTGACATACGCCTTTAATCCCAGCACTCGGGAGGCAGAGGCAGGTGGAGCTCTGTGAGTTCAAAACCAGCCTGGTCTACAAGAGCTAGTTCCAGGACAGCCTCCAAAGCCACAGAGAAACCCTGTCTTAAAAAACCAAAACCAAAACAAAAGTAATAACTAATTATTACCTTGGAATCAGTAGGTGGTGACTCAAATCCTCAAACAAAAACTTTATTCTTTAATTAATTCATTAGTTAATATATTTATTGTTTTTGATGGGTTTTGGTATGCCACCTAAGCTGGTCTTGTACTCCTAGGCTCAAGTGGTCCTTGTATGTCACTTGACCAAATAGCTAGGACCACATGTGCACACTAGCACACAAGGTCAAAGGGTTTTGAAGAGCAGTTTACTAAAGCTTTTAAAAATATTATGTCAAAATAACAAATTTCATAATTTATGAGTCTTTATTACATACATTTAAATGATTTAGGGACTAAAGAGTTGAGCATAATGTCTTAGAATCTGGGAGGCTAAATCAAGGAGAATAAAGTTTGAGGCCAGGCTGGGCATGGTGGCGCAAGCCTTTAATCCCAACACTAAGGCAGAGGCAGGCAAGAACTCTATGAGTTTGAGACTAGCCTGGTCTACATAGTGAGTTTCAGGAGCCTGTCCTGGAACTAGCTCTGTAGAGATTCACCAGCCTCTGCCTCCCAAGCGCTGGGACTAAAGGCATGCGCCACCAATGCCCAGCATAGTAAGCATTCTTTTACTTTTCTTTTCTTTTTTGAGGAGGGGCTGATTATTTTATTTTGAGAAAGGATCTTGCTATGTAGCCACGGTTGGTCTGGTATTTGCTAGTTAGCTGGGCGTCAAGCTGCAACTCTTACAAGCTGCCATGCTGTTTAAGCTGGTTTAGAGGTCAGGCTCATGGTGGACAAGAAACCACAGGGCTGGGAGGAGGCTTCAGAGAAACAGTAAGAAAGTCCAAAGTGTTATTTAGAACACACAGGTCTCAGGAAAGTAATAACAGTCCTATCTTAAGATATATAGTCTACCTGTACAGCTTATTCATAACACCTAAAAAGCACATTAAAAAACTTAAACATAGATACTGTCATAAGAAACGATATTTGAAGCCTTACTCTGGGTTACAGTTGAGTTTCTGGATGTCTTCGTGCAAATTTGGAACTGGAGGTTGCAAAGGTGTCGAGGGAAGCATGTTCCTTTCTTGAAGAAGATTGACAATCCTTAGACCCTCTGGATGTAGACTTAATCCACTCATGCTTGCAGTTAAATGATTAGCACCTACGGGAGTCTACAGACAGTTTCAAAGTGAATAACCTTTGTAGGTGTATAGGGCTTGGGTAGAAGAGCATCATCTAAACTCTGGCCACGCTGAGGTTCTAGAGAAGCAAACAAGTACAAAAGTCTTATGAAATGGGTCTGGAAGCACTGGCTGCTCTTCCAGAGGTCCTAACTTTAATTCCCAGCACCCACACAGTAGCTCACAAACATTTATAATGAGATCTGGTGTCCTCTTCTGACGTGCAGGCAGAACACTGTATCCATAATAAATAAAAATAAATCTTCCTTTAATCCCAGCACTAGGGAGGCAGAGGCAGGCAATCTCTGTGAGTTCGAGGCCGGGCTGGTCCGACTGCCTCCAAAACAATACAGAGAAACCCTGTCTCGTAAAACCAAAATAATAATAATAAAATAAATCTTAAAAACAAGCCTTATGAAATATTCATTTTTATTCTAAATGACTATAAAATGTTCATTGTACCTTTAAAATATATATATATATTTAGAAATACACACACACACACATATCTTGAACCAAAATGTTAAAAAAATATTTTTAAAAAGGGGGTTTACCTGAGTAAAGGCCTGGGGGCCACTTGGGTAATTCCGGGAGGAGGGTGGCATTCCAGCTGAACTAGGTGGCGCTGTGTTCTGGTAGCCAGGTGGTAGGGAGGGGTATGCATATCCCACACTTCGGCTCGTTTTGGGGTTCTGATTAATAAGCTGTGGTGTTGCTAGAAACAAGGTAACTTTTAAGTTCTATTTTAAATTCCAGAATACATAATACACCATAATGAGCCATTAAATTATGAAAATTAAACATCAATTCTTTTGAATTATAGTTTCATTTATCAACTTACAAAGAAACAATCATTAGTAATAGCAAGATCAATAATGATCCATTAATTGTGAAAATTTAACATCAATTCTTTTGAATTATAGTTTCATTTATCAACTTACAAAGAAACAATCATTAGTAACAAATAACAGCAAGATCAATCAATAGACTACAGCCATAAACACATAAGCAAATAAGTTCAGCATAGTTCATTTACATCCATATCATATAATAAATTTCATATTCAGGCTAAATTTCATTTAAAAAACTTTAACAAATTCATCCTAAATGCAATTTAGGGGCTTAGGTACATGAATTTAAACATGTATATATAATTGATTAAAATGCACACATAAAGTCCAAAGTTCCAATTTAGTATGCCTGGAAGTAAAAAAATAACTGTGGGTACATATATATATATAACATAAACTTTTTTCTCTTAGTTTCCTTCAATGAACACATATTACTTCTATAATCAGAGAAGAAAGAAAAATGTTCATAAGCATCTCACCCAAGAAGCCTCCTCCTTCAATTTCATCATAAGTACTATGAGCCACCATAGGTCCATTATTGGCATTTGATATAATACCTAAAAAGAAAATCCATCAACAAGATTTAAGTCAGAATGACTGCAACCGGGCGTTGGTGGCCCACACCTTTAGTCCCAGCACTCAGGAGGCAAAGGCAGGCAGATCTCTGTGAGTTCAAGGCCAGACTGGTCTACACAGCGAGTGCCAGGACAGACTCCAAAACAATACAGAGAAACCCTGTCTCAAAAAACAAAACAAACAAACAAATCCATAGTTTCTCTACAAAATGAACTAATCTAAAAATTTAGAAACCCTTAATAATAATTTAAATCCCAGCCTATCAAGTGTTAGATGTTGCCAGGCACTGTGGTGCATGCCTTTAATCCTAGCACTGGGAGGGCAGATGCAGGTAGACCTCAGTAAGTTTGAGGCTAGCCTGGTTTACATGGTGAGTTCCATGCCAAGGCTACATTGCAAACCCCTATCTCAAAAACAAAACCACCACAAACAACAAAATCTGGTTAGAGAGATGGCTCAGTGGTTTAAGCACTTATTGCTTTTCTAGAAGACCTGAAGCAGGTTCCCAGAATCTACATCAGGTAGCTCACAAACATCTGTAATTCCACAGGGATCTGGTTCTTGTGTCTGAGGGCACTGCACACATGTGCACATACCCACACACAGACACATACTGAGAAAGAATAACAAATCTTTTTGTTTGTTGGTTTTTCAAAAAAGGGTTTCTCTGTGTAGCCTTGGTTGTTCTAGAACTAGCTCTGTAGACTAGGCTGACCTCAAGCTCACTGAGATCCTCCTGCCTCTATCTCCCAAATTCTGGGATTAAAGGGGTGCACCACCACTGCCCAACTACAACAATAAGGCTATAACAATAAATGTTTAAAGGTGCCTGCCATCAAGCATGTAGATGAACTGAGTTGATCACCAGAAAGGTGTGAAGGAATGAAACCATATGCTAGAAGGAGTGGACCAACTTCTATAAATTGTACTCTGACTCTTGCATGTGTACACACACACACACACACACACACACACACACACACACACACACACACACAGAGCCTGGTCTACAAAGCTACACAAGAAAAAAACCTGTCTTGAGAAAAGGAATGACATATACTTGAGATGACAGATACCCTAATTATTCTGTCTAGATGGATCATCACATATTATATCTATCAAACCATCACACTCCACCCTCTAAATATGTACCTTAAGTTGTCATTTTTTAAAAGCTCAAATGTGAAAATAAAAATTTAAATACTGGCAGGAGAAAGGCCAATAGTAAAATTGGGGAGGGGGAGTTCCTCAGTGCCTGGAGAGATCGTTCACTGGTTAAGACCATGTACTGTTCTTGCAGAAGATCCAAGTTCATTACCAGCATCTGTGTCAAGTAGCTAACAACCTCCAATAACTTCAGCTCTGGGGTATTTGACATCTATGCCTTCTTCTGGCTTCTTGTGGCTCCTGAACTCATGTGCATATACCCACACACATAAACATGTATTTAGAAATAAAAATTGTTTTAATTTTTATTGAAAAAAAAGAATATATCTTAGTGGTTGAATGATTGCTTAGCACACATAAATTCCTGGATTCAATTCCCAGCTTAGCACATAAAAAGATCAACAAATTAAAGACAGCTGCTGGACTGGAGATGGTTCAGTGGTTAAGAGCTCTGGTTACTCTTCCAGATGACTAAGGTCCAATTCCCAGAACCCACATGTTGGCTCACATCTGCCTTATAACTCCAGTTCCAAAGACCTCGATGGACTTCTAGCCCACCTGGGCACCAGGCATACATGTGGTGTAGACATACATGCAGGCAAAACACATAGCATATTAGAAGGTGTGTGTGTGTGTGTGTAGAGAGAGAGAGAGAGAGAGAGAGAGAGAGAGAGAGAGAGAGAGAGAGAGAGAGAGAGAGAGAGAGAGAGAGAGAGAGAGTTTAAAGGAAGTTGCTGGCTAGCTGCAACACAACAGTAGAGTATTTGCCTAGCACGCACAAGATCCTAGATTTGATGCTCAGCACCACAAAACAAACACAAATAAAATGGAATAAATGAAAAAAAATGCAAGTTTTTAAAACTTTGCTTGTTGAGATGAGATATCATGCAGCATAGGCTAGCCTCCAAATTAGACTCCTAGATGCTGGGATTACAGGTATGTGCCAAATACACCAATGTTTCAAATAACTTAAATGCAGGCTTTAGGAAAAAGGAATCTTTTTTTTCCTGGAGATTGAAGAAGGATGATACAATATTCTAATTCCAATGTATCTAGAAACAGGCTTCTAAAGCTCGGGATGCAGTTCACATCTTCCTTCCAATCCTGAGCTGAGACTGAGCAGCGGCTTTGCCTTCCATTTGCTTACCTTCCTGGTTGACAGTCGAATTCCGTGAAGGTGGGAATGCAGCAGCCCTAGGAGGTGCTTTCTGGGGAGGTGGGCCTCCAGCTGGAGGGGGCCCAGGAGGAGCTCCTGGCTGAAAAGTGGTAGGCAGAGGTGGATTCTGTAAGGGAAGTGCAGAACCTATGGAAACATGGGTTTTTCACGTCATGTACGAGCTTAAGACAAAGGTTTCCAACAGTCTTTACTAAAACCAAGCAGATTTCTAAATTGAAATTTTAAAATAAAAATAGCCACCAATAAACTAATAGAAATACAGTAACTTCCTAAATTTGACACTCTATGTGCAGTCTACATTTTATAATTCTTTCTTACCATGATTCTTATCTGTCAGTTCTTAATGCAATATAAATAAATCAGCAACCCATAATCTCAGCACTCAGGAAGCTGGAAGTCAATCCAAGCTAGACTGGAGGTAAGACCTTGTCTCTATACAAAGTAGATGCACACATCAGTACCAAATCACTTCTAGGGTAAACAATATTCTGATTATCTTTTTCATTAACTGATCATAAAAAACTTTAGGAAGCCAGATGGACTATCCCAAGAATAAATTAAAATGAATAAAATTTGTGAAAAAATTTGGGGGAGTGTGGCTGGAAATAGGGTTTCTCTGTGTAGCCTTGGCTGTCCTGGCAATCACTCTGTAGATCAGGCTGGCCTCAACCTCACAGAGATCCACCTGTCTGCTTCCTGACTGCTGGGATTAAAGGCACATGCCACCACTGCCCAGCTATTCTGTTTTTATTATGGTATAACTTCTTTTTTTTTTTTTTTTGGTTTTTCAAGACAGGGTTTCTCTGTATTGTTTTGGAGGCTGTCGGTCCAGCCTGGCCTCGAACTCACAGAGATCCGCCTGCCTCTGCCTCCCGAGTGCTGGGATTAAAGGCGGCCGCCATCAATGCCCGGCCATGGTATAACTTCTTAAAAATGAAATTATAGGGCATTCCTCGCTAGGTGGCTCTCTAATGTCATTATGGGGAGGGAGTTCCTACTCACTTTCCTCTAATAAATCCACATTCTCTGTTTAAAAATGAGATTGTGGCCAGAAATAGTGGCACACGCCTTTAATCTCAGCAAGCAGGCAGAGGCAGGCTGATGATCCCTTTGAGTTTGAGGCCAGTAAGGTCTACAGAGTAAGTTCCACAACAGCCTGGGAAACAAAGAGAAACCCTGTCTCAAAAAAAAAAAAGACTAGAGCTGGGAATTGGTGGTGCATGCCTTTAATCCCAGCACTTGGGAGGCAGAGGCAGGTAGATCTCTCTGAGTTCGAGGCCAGGCCAGTCTGGTCTGCAGAGTTGAGTTCCAGGACAACCTCCAAGATGATCTTGAACTCTGATCCTCCTGCCTTTACCTCCTGAGGACATGCTGCCATGCCTCGCTTATGAGGTTCAGGAGAACTGGGGGTACACACCCAGATCTTCAGCTGGGCAAACACTCTACCAACTGAGCTCTACTTTCAGCCATTCTCCAGTTTTTTGAGACAGAGCCTCACTATATAGTCTTGAACTCATGATGCTCCTCCTACCTCAGCCTCCTGAGTGCTGGATTTTATTTTTAAGACTTATGTTTATTTTATGTGTATGGGTGTTTTGCCTGTATGTATGTCTGTGAACATACATGCATGCAGTGCCCACAGAGACCAGCAAAGGACAACAAATCTCCTGGAGCTGGTATGATAGTTGTGAGCTAACTAGTACAGGTGCTGGGAGCCAAACCTAGTTCCTCCATAAGAGCAGCCAGCGCTCTTAACCACTGAGTCATCTCTCCAGCTCTTTATGTATTGGGGTCATATGCATGTATCCCCTATACCAGGTTCAAAAGCTCATTGTTTTTATACTTGTTAGTGACACAGTTAATACATTTTACTTATATGTATTTTATAAAACCAAAAGAACAAAGATAGCCAAATACGAAAAATTTGAAAAACTCATACTGTTAAATTCTCCAGGACCAAGTGGAAAAAAAACCTTTGTTATTAATAAATCTTATTGATTTAACAAGAATTAATCAGTGTTCATTGGGAAAGTAAAGATTGCTGCCATGCAGCTCCCTTATCAAGAAAGCATCCATTCATCTATGACAGTACACACAATTTAAAAGAACAAAGGGCAAGGTGCACTCCCAACTCAGCATTAATAGGAATCTATGACCATGACACCAAAAGATGTCTAACCACAAAGCTGCAATGGCTTAATGTTTAACAAAACACAAGTTAGTTTACAGGTGTTTTTCACGTCTTAGAACATTTTGAATTCAGAACATGCTATATTACATAAAAGAATTGTTTAAAAAGTATTTCAAGACAAGATTTATCTATGTATCCCTGGCTGTCCTGGAATTCACACTGGAGACCAGGCTTAAAGGTGTGTGTCACCATGTCAGGCCATAAAAGAGACTTTACTGGCAGAGTAATTCCTGTTTCTTCACTGCTGGGAATTGGTCCTAGGGTCTAGCACAAGCTAGGCAAGTGTTAAACTGATCAGTACCTATTTATAACATGAAGAGTCAGAGTTCTGGACTTGGCCTTTTCAGATCCCTAAAAGCTAATTAATGTGAGGGTAAAAAAGGCAGGGAAAAAAAAAACAGAAAACAGACAGGCTTTGGTTGTGCACGCCTTTAGTCCCAGCACTTGGGAGGCAGGCGGGGATCTCTGTGAGTTCAAGGTCAGTCTGGTCTACAGAGTGAGTGCAAGGATAGGCTATACAGAGAAACCCTGTCTAAAAAAAAACCACCAACAACAAAAAACCAGCCAAACAGAAAACAGAATGTGAGACTAGAAACAGGTACAACTTAGAATAGGCTTTTTCCTTTTCCCCTTTTTTCCTTTAATGCCCTGTGTCAAAGGAGGGTTAGGTTGTTTTTTTTTTAATTATTATTACTTATTTTATGTGTATTGGTGTTTTGCCTGCATGTATGTCTGTGTGAGGGTTTCAGATCTTGGAGTTACAGACAGTTATGAGCTGCCACATGTGGTGGTCAGAGGACAACTTGGGGAAGTCAGTTCTATCCTCTCAAGTGAGCAGTGTAATGGGGACACAAGAAACTTAAGTTACCGACGTTGATAGATGGTGCGGCTCAACCCACTGAGCCATCCCATCACTGCAGTATGTTGTGTGTGTGTGTGAAAGTGTGTGAGTGTGAGTGAGTGAGTGTGTGTGTAATTGGTTTTTGTTGTTTTGTTTTTTGAGACAGGATCTTATTCTGTACTCTAGGTTGACTTTAAACTCATGGGCAATCTCCTGGCTTACTTCCAAGTTACAAATATTACAGGTAGGAACTGCCACACAAAGCTTGATACTAGAGTTTTTAGTTTCAGACTATCAAGTACAAGATGAGAATATAGAAATTAAAACTGAGATTTTTTTTTTTTTTTGGTTTTACTGAGACAGGGTTTCTCTGTATTGTTTTGGAGGCTGTCGGTCCAGCCCGGCCTCGAACTCACAGAGATCCGCCTGCCTCTGCCTCCCGAGTGCTGGGATTAAAGGCATGGGCCACCACCGCCCGGCAAAACCCAGATTTTTTTTTAAGAGAGCTATATATTTATTTTACTTTCATTTTAATAGTTTATATGGCCTTCCCACATTCTCATTCTATCTCTTTAAAGATATAATCTTAGCAGGCTGGCCTTGAACTGTGATTTTTCCAGCCTCAGCCAACCAAGTGCTGGGATTACAGGCCCATGCTACTATACCCACACTCCCAGACCCTTGTTTTTTATGTGGGAATGTTCAAAGTTTAAGTACTTATTTTTGTTTTTCTAACCACGTCGATGCTGTAGTCAAAGTGTTCTACCTTAGAGCTTTTGTTAAGGCCAAAGAAATTTTAGGTTACTGATCATGTACCCTTTTCACCAAGGTGATACTTTGTCTGTCTGTCTGTCTACTTATTTTAGAGGCCGGATCTCACTTTGTGGCCCTGACTAGCCTAGAACTCATTATACAGATCAGGCTAAGCTTCAACTCAGAGATCCAATCGCCTTTGCCTCCTAAGTGCTGTATTGATTGGTTATTTATTTGAGATGTTGCCCAGGAAGGCCCCCAAATCCTAGACTTAAGTAGTCTTCCTAAGCCTTTTGAGCAACTGGGAAAGTAGATGAAATGGTTTTTCATTTTCTCTTAGACTTATTTTTATTATTATTTGTGATTGTGTATCTGTATGTATATGATGCCCAATGTCTAAAGAGGCCATTGGATCCCTCAGAGCTGTATTTATAGGTATGTCCAGGCTACCTGACTTATTTATTACATGAGTATTGAGATCTAAATGCCTGTCCTCATGACTGCACAGAAAGCACTCTTAACAGCTGAGCCATCTTTCCAGTCCTTAACAGATTTTTTTGTTTTTGTTTTTTAGAGACAGGGTTTCTCTGTATAATTTTGGAGCCTATCCTGGCACTTGATCTGTAGACCAGGCTGGCCTCAAACTTACAGAGAACCGCCTGTTTTTGCTTATACATTCTTAATCACTGTGTGGCCCAGGCAAGCCTTAGTCCACCTGCCTGTTTCACGTGTTGTGGGATTACAGCCATATGCTATCATGCTCAGTACATTTTATTATTATTGTGTGCATGTGTATGAATAATGTGAGGGAGCACAAGGCACCCATGCCACAACTGTGTGGAGATCAGAGGACAACTTTCTTGAGTGAGCTCTCTCTTCCACCAGTGCATGTCCTGACAACTGAACTCAGATAGCCAAGCTTGCATAAGCACTTTTACCCACTGAGCCATTTCATCAACCTGAGATCTTCAGGGTTATTCTTAGCTCATGCTCTGAGGAAATGAACCAGTAAAAACTTCCAAATGAAATGGCTAATATCAATAACTATCTCCTTTTATTCATATTCCCTTAACTATATACAGATATTTTCCATCAAGCACGTAGCTTGTTAGTGAAAGTGATCTAATGGGCAGTACTTGAGACTGACTGAAGGTCCTGGCACTTGCTTAAGCACACATCTGCAATTTAACCACATTTCCATGTCCCTGAGCTTGGTAGTTAGTGCATCCCTGTAATCCCTGCACTAAGAACATCTTTAGCTGCATAGTATACTCAAGGACAAGGCTGGTTCAAACTAAAAAACATCTAGCCTTCCCAAAGAAAAGGCTAAAAGAAAAAAAACAAGCCGGGTGTTGGTGGCACACACCTTTAATCCCAGCACTAGGGAGGCAGAGGCAGGAGGATCTCTGTGAGTTCAAAACCAGCCTGGTCTACAGAGTGAGTTCCAAGACAACCTCCAAAGCCACAGAGAAACCATGTCTCGAAAAAACAAAAACACAAACAAACAAACAACAAAAAAAAAAACTGCGAGCACAAGCAGTGGAGCCTAGACCTTTAGTTCACTCTCCCCGTGACTGTTGTCATGCCATGGCACTAATTTAAACTAATTTCCACTCATAAACAGGAGTAACTTTTATTAAATATTTATTATTTTCTAGGGCATCACCAAATCTCTTTGCATGTGTGTATACTCCAAGTGCTAGGGTTTAAAAAGGCATGTGCCACACCTGTCATCTTTTAGGCCTATTGAAGTGACTGCACAAAAACCTAAGTCCCTGGAAATCTTAGGAGAGAGTGAAAGAAAAATAGCTTGGAGAACCAGATGTTTGGAAGGCTTCGGTATAGGAATTGCAATTCAGCATAGACAGCATAACAAGACCTTGTCTCATGAAAAGGGAAAGAAAAAAAATTACTCACAAAGCAAAAGCAGTAAGAATTCAAGAATGTAAAATAAGCAATTTATTAACTTAAAGACGTAAAAAGAAACTTACTTAAAAATCAATTGATTTTGAGGCCGGGCGTTGGTGGCGTACGCCTTTAATCCCAGCACTCGGGAGGCAGAGACAGGCAGATCTTTGTGAGTTCGAGACCAGCCTGGTTTACAGAGTGAGTTCCAGGACAGCCTCCAAAACCACAGAGAAACCCTGTCTCGAAAAACCAAAAAAAAAAAAAAAAAAAAAAAAAAAATTGATTTTGAAAACCATCTTTCTATAAGGCTTAAGGTTTTGTATATTCAGTGCAAATCTAAAGGAGCAAGTTTTACATTTCTACATTTCAAACATTCCTCAGTACCTGGCTTTATGAAGCTGGTTTGAAGTGCAGGGTCTCCAGAAGAAACATACTGATGATGTGCTGTTAAATTTGTATTCCCAGACATAGTTGGTTGGGCTACATGAGGAAAATGGTTAGTCTGTGGTCCTGTAGATGGATAGTTATATTGCCAATTCAAAGGTGGTGGTGGGTTGGCTCCAGGAAGAAAGCTACCAGAAGGCATTGGTGTAGCAGATGGGTTCTGAGAAGTAGGTGGTGGCATTTGGGAAACAGGACCACTGTGAAGTGAAGGTGGTGCTGGACTGGAAGTCACAAGTGGTCTATTAAGAGTCTGTCCAGATCCCTGAGAACCACCATAGTTCAACTGTGCAGAAACTGGATTCAAAGTCTTTGCTGGCATTGGACGAGGGTAGGATCCTGGAAGTTGGGAATCATATCCTTGGCTCGATGACATTTGTGATGACATCAGTGTATTTTGGACAGGACCTTCAGATAAGACAGAAGGAAAATTAGTCTTGTTAACAAATATAATAATACTTTTAAAGATACAATAGGGGGCTAAGAGTGTGGTTCATACAAAAGATCCTGATTTCAATACACAGGAACAGGGAATAATAAGTATAGCACTCAGAAGACTTATGCAAAAGGACTGCAAATTCCAAGACAGCCTGGGCTACAGCGAGTGCTTAGTCGTCAGGGAATGGAACTATTTGAGAAGGACTAGGAGGTGTAGGCTTATTGGAAGATGTATGTCCCTGGGGGTGGAATCTGAAGTTTCAAAAGCCCATGTCAAGCCCAGTTCTCTGTCTTCCTGTGGCCTGAAGGTCAGGATGTAGCTCTCAGCTACTACTGCGGTGCCATGCATGCCACCATGTTTCCTGCCATGATAAGAATGGACTAAGCCTCTGAAACTGTAAGCAAGCTGCCCCAATTAAATGTTTCCCTTTTTATTTATTTATTTATTTTGGTTTTTCGAGACAGGGTTTCTCTGTATTGTTTTGGAGGCTACTCTGTAGACCAGACTGGCCTCAAACTCACAGAGATCCGCCTGCCTCTGCCTCCCGAGTGCTGGGATTAAAGGCGTGTGCCACCAACGCCCGGCCTAAATGTTTCCTTTTTTAAGAGCTGTCTTGGTCATGGTGTCTCTTCACACACTAGAACCGTGACTAAGACAGTCTCCTCAAAATGGAGACAATCACCACCATCAGCAGAAGAAGGATAACCTGCAGGATTTGTCATAAAAACAAAGCACTAATAGGCTATAAATGAATAAACCTTAAAAATATTACTACATGCTGGGACTGGAGTTCAAGCTCAGCAGAGCAGCATCTGCTGCTATGGATGAGGCCTTGAGTCCACTTCCCACCACTATCTTTTAATTGAAAGAAGCCAGATATGGGAGTGTGTAATCAGACATGCATTGTATAATTAACCTACATACAATGTCCAGAATAGGAAACCCCAGCACAAAGGCCGATTCATGGTTGGGGCACTGGAGTGATAACCAAAGGATTTTGATTATCTTTGGGGGTAGGAGTATTCTGAAATTTGGGCTACTGAGATGGCTCCTTGGGGAAAGGCCATTTGCTATTATAACAGTAGAAGAGAACCAACTCACCAAAGATGTCCTCTGCCCTCCCACATGTCCACCATGGCATGTGTACAACCCAATGCACATGTGGACACACACAGATACACTCGCAGATACACACACACACACACAAAATAAGTAAAATAAAGTGTTGGCTTTTTTTGTTTTGCTTTTATTTAATTTATTTATTTTTAGTTTTTTGAGACAGGGTTTCTCTGTGTAGCTTTGGAGGCTATCCTGGAACTTTCTCAGTAGACCAGGATGGACTCTGAACTCAAAGAGACCACCACCTCTGTCTCCCTAGTGCTGGTATTAAAGGTGTGCACTACCACTGCCCAGCAAAAGTGTTGTTTCTTTAAGTCTGCATACCAGTACCAGGTGCAGGAGGTAGCTCATGCCTATAATCTCAGATTTCCAGAGGCTGAGGCAGGAGAATCTCTGTGATCTCAAGAGTATGAGGCCAGCCTAGGCAACAGAGACCCTAGGCAACTGGTCACTGTCATAAACCTATCCCATCCTATAGATGTCATGACTTTCAAGGTTGCTGAAGATACAGATGATCTAATATGGTCGCCCTTCCCCACGCCCTGCCTGCTCTTATGGATCTGGCAGTTCACAGGAACCATTATCAGTGTTTCCTCATGTACTGTGAACTGTCTACCAAATTACTGCATCCAAGCAGGAAGGTCATGGGATTCCCTGGTATACCCAATCAGAAGCACAGGTCAGAAACCTGGACTTGGTATTGCATCTGAAGCAACTTGTAGGGCTGAATCCTTATTTGACCTGAAGAATCTGGTGCTATCTCCAGGTGGATGAGGTCATAACTGAACAAGACAGGTTGACTGTAGTTGTTGCAGTTGGAGTCCACTGAAGAACTGCATGTGCCCAACCCCAGGGTGGTCACAGCAGAGCTCTCTGCTGTGTGAGAGCACGCAGTTCAGTGTTTGTTCCTTTACTCCTGACCTCTTTTTTTTTTTTTTTTTTTTTCAAGACAGGGTTTCTCTGTGGCTTTGAAGGCTGTCCTGGAACTAGCTCTTGTAGATCAGGCTGGCCTTGAACTCAGAGATTCATACCTCTGCCTCCCGAGTGCTGGGGTTAAAGGTGTGAGCCACCACCTCCCAGCTACTCCTGACCTCTTCATAGCACCACTGTAAGTGTCCTTCAGGAGGCAGTGCCCCTCCCTCCCCGATAGACCTCACAGGTGCTTGGAAACCTCAGTGACATTCCATTCACACTATATTCCGTTCATAGCAATTACTGGGCAATTTATTTCTCACTCAGAGTTTTGCACTCCTTTATCTTCAAGCCAGTGGGGGAGGGACAACTATTTCTCAAAGTCATTTGTTTCCCCTAATTGCCTATCTACTTCTCATTTCCCTAGTAAGATGGCATTACAAATCCTAAATAAGTAACTGGGCATGGTGATGCACACTTTTTATTCTAGTGCCAGGGAGGCAAAGGCAAGTGGATCTCGAGGAGTTTGAGACCCACCTGGTCTATATAGTGTGTTCCAGGATAGCCAGAACTACATAGCAAGACCCTGTCTCAAAAACCAAACCAGACCAAAAATAACTACCCTAAACACCTTTTCCCCCAGTTTTTGTATTAAAAATACTTTATTACTTTTAATTATGTGTATGTATCTGTATGTGGGTACCCACAGAGGACAGAGGTGTTGGATCCCCTAGGGCTTGAGTTACAGGTAGCTGTGAGCTGCCTGATATGGATACTAGGAATACAACTTGGATCCTCTAGAAGAGCAGGAAATTCTTTTAACTATGGAGTCATTTCTCTGGCCCCATGGGATTTAGGTTTTTGGTTATTTGGTTTCCTTGTTCGTTTTAAGACAGCATCTCATATGCCCTAGCTGGTCTTGAATTTGTTATGTGGGAAAGACTGGCTTTGAATTCCTTGATCCTCTGCCTCTACCTGCCAAGAGCTGGAATTGCAAGCATATGTCACCATAGCCAGCAAACATTTTTACTTTATTAACCAGGAGTCATCTGTGGCTCTATTAGGGACAATCCGGAGAACATGTGGGAACAGAGGCTGTCTTAGTTAGGGTTTCAATTGCTGTGAAGAAACAGCATGACCATGGCACTCTTTTTGTTTTGTTTTTTGAGATTGGGTTTCTCTGTGTGTAGCACTTAGGAGGCAGAAGCTGGCAGATCTCTGGGAGTTCGAGGCCAGCCTGGTCTACAGAGCTAATTCCAGGACAGGTTCTAAAGCTACAGAGAAACCCTGTCCCTGTCTCAAAAAAAAAAAAAAAAAAAAAAAAAAAAAGAGTTGCCAAGATCATGGTATCTCTATCTCTTCACAGCAAGAAATACTCTAAGACAGTAACTCACACTCACACTTGTAATCCCAGTACTTGGGAGACAGATATTAGAGGATTGCTGTGAGTTGGAGGCCTGCCTGAGCTACATTCAGTAAGAGACACTGCTTCACTCCTCCTAACCTGCCAGAAACAAACAAATAACTCAACAGAATCCTAGAAGAGCCCCTGGAAGAGTACATGCCTCATGTACTGACAGTTCACATAGATTTTAGAATGGACTTCAGAAACCAATTATTTAAACTGGATGTTATGGCATACATCTGTAATTCTAACAATTGGGAGGCAGAGACAGGAGGACTTCATCAAGTTTAAGGTCAGCCTCTTTCTTTCTTTCTTTTTGGTTTTTTGAGACAGGGTTTCTCTGTGTAGTTTCGGAGCTCCTCTGTAGACCAAAGGCCAGCCTATTTCTACACACTGTGTTGTAGGCCAACCATGGCTACACAGTAAGTTTCTGTCCTCAGAGAAATGGCAGTGGCAGCACAGGGGTGGGGAGTATACATACAAACACATACATACAGATGTTCATACGAGTTTTGGTAACTTAGCAAGACACTGTCTAAAATAAAGTTTTAAAAGAGGGGAGGAATGCCTGAATATGTTAGCTCTATGACAGCATGATTGTTAGCTATGTGAGACCACATGCTCAATCCCCAGCAACCCCAAAACAAAAAACTCACCAATACAGATAACTCTTAAAACAATTGGTGTCCTTATTATTCATAAATCAAACATAAAATTAAAGAGAATCCTTCCAAAAGTATCACACCAATTAATACAAAAATTATGATTTATAAATGTCCTTAGTAAGTCTAGTAAACAGTTAAGAATACACTGAATTAACTACCTCTTTCACATAAAAGTCCATGTAGAAGAAAAAGGTCAGCCTGGTCTACAAGAGCTAGTTCCAGGACAGCCTCCAAAGCCACAGAGAAACCCTGTCTCGAAAAACCAAAAAAAAAAAAGAAGAAGAAGAAGAAGAAGAAGAAGAAGAAGAAGAAGAAGAAGAAGAAGAAGAAGAAGAAGAAGAAGAAGAAGAAGGCTGGTCTTGTCAGTTCAGGCCTGTAACTTGGGAGGCTGAGGTAGAAGGACTAAATGTTCAAAGTCTACTCTGGCAACATGAACTCAATGCCAGCCTGATCAACTCACTGAGACTGTCTCAAAATTTAAAAACACAAAAAGGAGTAGGACATTGCTCACCAAATACACATGAAGCCCAGAATTTAATCCTCACTATCATATAATAAATACATAAACAAAATGTAAAGGAAGCAGATAAGTCCCTAATGGTTTTCCTTAAAATTCTAAGTAGGACAAAGACTGAGGGCCTTTTCATTCTTCAGCAATCCGTTCACTAGTACATTATATACTGAACCACTACTTAGCAGTTTATGTGGGCCAACTATCGAACATGAACCTAAAAGAAACACTAATTTTAATTAATTCAGAGGTGGCTCAGTGGTTAAAAGCACTAGCTGTTCTTACAGAGGATTTGGGTTCAATTCTCTGCACCCACAGGGTAACTCACAAACCTGTAAATCAGCCCAGGGAATCTGACAACCCAGGGGACCTAACTTAGTACCTCATCTCACATCATTAATCAAAATACAGTCTTCACCTGAAGAATTTGTCAACAAAAACAAAACAAAAGGAAAGAAAATATATCAATAACCACAGCATTTATGAGACGGAGGGGGAGTTTCCTGCTAGTTTGGTCTACAGAGAGAGTTCCAGGACAGCCAGGGTTACACAGAGAAACCCTATCTTGAAAAAACGAACAAACAAACAAAAAAGATGGGGAAAAAAGGAAGAAAGCAAATTCTGAGATTCAAAGTTAGGGTAGGTGCAATCTCAGGATCTACAAAACATTTATGAACAGCAGGGAGAGGTTCAAGATTTAGCTCACAAGCATAAGAACCTGTTCGAGATGCATACATATAAACAGGAAGGAAGAGAAGGACTATGAGACTGAGGAATAATAATGACAAAAGAAAACAGAAAAGTCCATGGTGGGACAGGAACAGAATGGACTAAATATTAATGAAAGAAGCAATCTTATAAAAATTGTCAGCAAATGTTGGTCATGGTGGCACACCAAACAAAACAAAAGAAAACAAAAACCAACAACAACCACCTTTAATCCCAGCACTCAGGAAGCAGAGGCAGGCAGATCTCTGTGAGTTTGAGGCCAGCCTGGTACACAGAGCAAGTTCCAGGACAGCCAGGGCTACACAGAGAAACCCTGACTCAAAAAACAAAAACAAAAACCAAAAAGCCAGCAACTCTTTTGCTGTAGTTATATGTATATACCTATATAAGGAAACCAAAAATAAGGCTAAGACCCCTGATTCCCACACTAGTTCAAGGATCTGGGTCCTAGGATCAAGGGTAAGAAGAGCGGGTAAATAATTAGAAGACACTCAACAGTGCTATTGACAAATGCCTGAACAGTGAATGCTTGCTTCCTGTTACTATGTCTCTCTTTCCAAGGGCCCTAGTCAATCAGCAGAGACAAGCAGTTCAGTAGCTACCACATGCAACATTGTTACATTTTGGGGGCTTTGCTTTTTTTCTTTTTGCAATACTGAGCATTGAACTAAGCCTTGCACATGCTAAGCAGGTGCTTCACCATTAAGTGTTATCTCTGGCCTACAACATTGTAAGTACTTACAAAGGTACACAAAGGATTATGGGAGCTCAGTTTCTGAACATTCTGAAAACAATAAATGGAGCTCAGCTACAACAGCTAGTGGGAGCTTGTTTCTGAATAAAGACTGCCCATATACCATTAAGAGCACTTGCTGCTCTTCCAAAGGACCAAATTTCATCTGCAAGCACTCATATCATGTAGCTCAAAACTGCCTGTAACTCCAGCTCCAGGGGATCTGATGCTCTCTTTAGGTTTCTGAAGGCACCTTCACACATGTCTGTCTCTGTCTCTGTCTGTCTGCCTGCCTGTCTGTCTGTCTGTCTGTCTCTCTCTCTCTCTCTCTCTCTCTCTCTTACACACACACACACACACACACTAAAATAAACAAAATAAAAGCTGGGCAATGGTGGTGCACACCTTTAATCCCAGCACTCCAGAGGCAGAGGCAGGAGGATCTCTGTGAGTTCAAGGACAGTTTAGTCTACAAAGCAAGTTCCAGGCCTGCCAGAGCTGTAACACAGAGAAACCCTGTTCAAGAAACCAAAGCAAACAAGCAAATAAATAATTTGAATTATATAAACTGAAAATATACTCTAATATTACTATAAATAAATCAATACATATTCACCGATTGAACTGCAAACACATGATTCTAAAACTTTGTTCAACAAAATTGGGAACTTTTTTTTTTTCAAGACAGGGCTTCTGTAGACCAGGTTGTCCTTTAACTCAAGAGATCTGCCTGCCTCTGCCTCCTGAGTGCTGGGATTAAAGGTATGCACCACACCTGACAGGAACTTCAAAAAAAACATTTATAAGTATTTTTTGTGTATCTGTGCACCAATGCTTGTCTACTGCTCGCAGAGGCCAGCAGAGAGCAGGTACTTACCCTAGAACTGAAGTGGTTGGTTGTGAGTCATTTCATGGGTCCTGGGACTTGAACCCTGGTCCTCTGCAAGAGCAGCAAGTGCTCTTATCTATTGAGCCATCTCTTCAGCCTCCCAAACTAGTAATTCTTAAATGTGCTAGACACTATGTGGCCTCTGAAGTCAGGGACTTACAAGCTAAAGGAAGTCAGATACTCTTTTACAAAATCACAGCCTACCAGGGGAAGGAGAAAGGAGGCTGTTCCTCTCAGCTTCAGGGCTATATGTAAAGGGAACTATTATATAGACATCACACAGAAATGAAGTTAATGAACCTTCAGTCTCTTAACTGCCTTGGCAAGTTGGTTTAAAAGCTAGCAAAGGAGGTACAGAATAACAGGAGCTCTAATGTCCCTTTACCCTTACTATGATAATCAGGATAAGGTGTCAGTTTAAGTTGTCTTGCAGCCTCACTATCAACATTTTGCAATGGAAATATGCATACGCAAATCAGTATTAAAAATCTGAGGGAGCCAGGTGATGGTGGTGCACACCTTTAAACTCAGCACCTGGGAGGCAGAGGCAGGTGGGTCTTTGTAGCCAGCATGGTCTACAAAGCTAGTTCCAGGACAGTCAGGGCTACACAGAGAAACCATGTCTCAAAAAACAAAACAAACAAACAAGAATCAACCCTACATCCAAGGGGGTTAAAAGCCTGATGTGATGGCTGTTATATTTTCAGTTATATGACTCTACTCCTTATTTTTATTGACCTCATTTTTTTCATCTCCTACCACACTAAACCACAATCACCAGTTCCATATCTGAATTCCCAAATAACTCTAAACAACCCACACAAGAGTGCTCTCTTATTCTCTATTATTCCCAAGGTCAGAATATGAATGTGCAACAGGTGCATGTTTAGCTTTGACCAAAAAGACAAGTGGGGACATGGAAATTCCTGCTCTGTAATTCAGGCACTCAAGCAGCTGAGACAGGAGGATCACTACAAGATTCAGGCCAACTGGAGAGACAGAATGAGACACTGCATCAAAAAACTAACTAAAATCAATGAAATACCTCCAGCACAGCCTATCATACTAATCAAATTCCTGCAATGTTTCAAAACCCTGACAACTATACTTGCATGTAAACTCACAGGCACATTTGCATAATTTGACATTTAAGTATAATTTATAAGAAAAACCCACACCAGAGACACCTTGTTTAATTGTTTTCACCTTAAAGGAGATGGCTTCATCTTCTGTGCAAATGTTACTATCACAGAACAAAATGTAGTTTACATAATCTGTTACTATAAACTTAGGAACCAATTCAAGTTAACTTGTCAATACTTCTGGCTTCTGCTGCCATGCCCACATAGCTGCCTACCCACAGACATTTTTAAGGATGATAAAGAGCCCTCTTTGTAAGGAAAACAGTAGTCTTCTTTAAATGCATTGTAACCAGCAATTTTAGTTACTGGCTATTTTCTCCAACTTCAATGAGCACAATGAGTACTTTAGTATTATTCTCCCTGTCTTCTTCCCATGAAGCAAAGATTTGTAGGCTAATTTGTAAGCAGGCAGAAAATGTGTCTTTATTACATCAATTAAAATTCGCTTAGCAATTCACACTGTAGAAAAATCTCCTATCATAAGATACTCTCATGCCAAAAGATAAATCATAGTGCCAGATGTACACTCTCCTCGGGTTTGGAGAGTTGCGTCAAACTACGTCCCAAGTGAGGAAGAGGCCTCTCGAAACGAACCCTAACCTTCCATCCATTTGGTTCTTCCACAACCGAAAAACTGCACAGGTGGCCCAGGGACCGCTGTAGGAAGGAAGATACTTGGAGAAAGATCCCTGGAGGGATGAGTAAGTCCCAAAGGGGTCTGGAAAGGCGGAGTGGTTCATTCATCTCCACAAACTCAGACTAATAAACACGACCCGCATCCCACTGCGCTTGGATCTTACAGAGCCGAGAAGAACCCTGCCCTCCAAGACACCGGACTCAGGTGGCGCGGAGGGTGATGACACTCAGATACTATGACCTCCCTTGTAAGGCAGTTCTAAGGAACTGATTTCGTCTGCGATTCTTTTTCACCTCTTGTTGATCGCTGCATACCGCAGGTGCTTACTGTTTGCGGGCTGAATATACATGCGGAACACTGTCCCCAGAGCAGGTCTGCAGGTGCACCTCTACCGCCGTTCCCGGGGTCGAGCCGTCATCTGACACTCCCCGTGGCAGACCCGGCCAGGAGATCTCCCGGGCCCGGGCCCTGGCCGCGCCGTCCTCCCCGCCCCCATGCGGCACTCACCGTTGGTGTAGGGAGACCCCGAAGCCGAGGCAGCCCCGTTCTGGGCTTGGAGGCCGGCTGCGGCGCCGCGGGCGGCCGGGATCCCGGGCTGGGCCATGGCGCCCGGGGTTCTCAGGGTAGGACGGAGTCGTCGGGGTCGACCGCGGCGCCAAGCCGAGAGCTCCAAGAGGAAAGCCGAGGGAAGGGACCCGAAGGCCTGAGAAGCGGAACGCGCGAGGGCGGCACGTCAAGGCCGAGGCATGGCGCTTCGGTCTCCTCAGCCCGCCGGAGACCACGACCCGGCCTGGGCGCGGAGAGGCTCGGGAATCAGGCTGGCGGGGCCGCAAACGCCGGGCTCGGAGGCGCCAGCCGAACCCGGAGAGGAGGCAGGCCCTGGGCGGAGCCGCCGGCCGCGCAGGCACAGTGGGGACACGTGGCACTTCCGGTTCCGGCTGGTGGCTCTCTGTCCCGGCAGAGCTGCCCCGCGGCCACCTGACAGTCCCGTGTCCGGGCCCGGAGGACCGTGCACGGACTCGCCTGCCACGTCACTGACTCCCGCCGCCCACCGGAAGTGGCAAGTGTCGCCACTACGAAAATCCCCGGCGTGGAGAACGTCACCTCCCTGACCCATGATGGGGGAATCTCAGGGAGGTGTGGACTTTGAGTCACTCCAGTGGGGTAGGACAGGACCGGCTCCTGTTCCGGGATCCTCTGAGGATTACCTGAGACAGATGACACCGTCTGCAGTCGAGACCGAGCCACCGCTAGGGACTCCGTCGGTGCCTTGCCGGGTGTAGAGTGCAAGAGAATTTTAAAAAGAACGTGTTAAAATACGTGTGGTTGTCAGTGGCATGGGCCGAACGTGGAAGCAAATGAAAGGCCGAGGCAGGAGTGTTGCTCTGAGTTCGAAAGCGGCCTAATCAGGCCTGCCGGGGCTGGAGAGGAAACTTTTTCTTTTCACCTGGAAGATTCTAAGGTCATTTTATTTCTTTTTAAGATTCATTTATTGGGCTGGAGAGATGACTCAGAGGTTAAGAGCACTGACTGCTCTTCCAGAGGTCTTGAGTTCAATTCCCAGCAACCACATGGTGGCTGACAACCATCTACAATTCAATCTGGTGTATATGTAATAAATAAATAAATAAATCTTTTAAAAAAAAGATTTATTTATTTATTACATATACAGTGTTCTGTCTACACGCCAGAAGAGGACATCAGATTGAATTATAGATGGTTGTGAGCCACCATGTGGTTGCTGGGAATTGAACTCAGGACCCCTGGAAGAGCAGTCAGTGCTCTTAACCTCTGAGCCATCTCTCCAGCCCCTGAGGTCTTTTTTTTTTTTTTTTTTTTGGTTTTTCGAGACAGGGTTTCTCTGTGGCTTTGGAGGCTGTCCTGGAACTCACTTGGTAGTCCAGGCTGGTCTCGAACTCACAGAGCTCCACCTGCCTCTGCCTCCCGAGTGCTGGGATTAAAGGCGTGCGCCACCAACGCCCAGCTCCCTGAGGTCATTTTAATTTTGAAGTTAGCTTACTCTAGCATAGTCACTCCGAAGTATGTTCACCACGCATGGATCCGCACCCTTCCTTTCCCAATGTTGATACTGGAATCCAAGGTCCTAGAGAAGCACTCATTTTCCACTGAACTACACAGCTTCTAACAGCAAGTATTTAGTTGATATTGAGGTTCAGGGCCTAATAATGTAAACAGTCATTTTAAACCAGTGGTGGTGGTGTACTCCTGTAGTTCTGGGTACTGGAAAATGAGACAGGAAGGTGTTGAATCCAAGACCAGCCTGGGCAGTTTAGCAGGACTCAGTTTCTCAGAAAAGGGTTAGGGATGTGAGTTTACTGCTTATCCTTGTAGGAAGAAAACCTGAGCTCAAAAAGTTAAAGACAGTTTTAATTCCTCTTCTGAGAGTTTGCATTAAGGGAAATAAATCAGACTTCCTTGCTGGGCAAGTAATTTTAAATTTTTTAATTTATTTTTTCTACCCCCAAATAGACATTTTGACTTTTAAGGCCACAGAGCAGTAGAAACTGGTTGGTTACACAACATAATTAATGATATCAGTGGTGATCTTAGCTCCCTTCGTTGTGCTTCAGTTTTTCCTGCTCCAAGCAGATGACAAAGTCCTTCACAGATGTGTACTGCTGATTAAAGAGTCGTGTTAGGACAATAGTTTCACAACGTCAGGGGAAAGTACATCTTACCTAATTCATTAAACAGCTAACGCCTGCCGTGAAGTATACATAGGAAAAAGAGCACAGTCGCAGGGCGGTGGTGGCCCATGCCTTTAATCCCAGCACCAGCACTTGGGAGGCAGAGGCAGGCGGGTCTCTGTGAGTTCGAGACCAGCCTGGTCTACAGAGCGAGTTCCAGGACAGCCTCCAAAGCTTCAGAGAAACCCTGTCTTGAAAAAACAAACAAACAAACAAACTTGGGTCAGAAACTGTCAGACCCAAGAAGCAAGCAGTAAATACAGATAAAAATGTATCCGCCAGGCGGTGGTGCACATCTTTAATCCCAGCACTCAGGAAGCAGAAGCAATCGGATCTCTGTGAGTTTGAGACCAGCCTGGTTCCAACAGGCTACAAAGCCACAGAGAAACCCTGTCTCGAAAAACCAAAAAAAAACAAAAGAAAATTATCCTGCTCTTTCTTGACTCCACCTCTGAGGTAGCAGCTTTGGAGTCTGATGGTTAGTCGTCAACATGCAGCTCTTTGTACGTGCCCAGGAACCACATGCCCTCGAGGTGAGCAGCAATAGAAGATCGACCAGATCAAAGCTCATCTGGCCTCACTGGAAGGTATTGCCCTGGAAGTTCAAGTCGTGCTTCTGGCTGACTTGTCTCTGGAAGATGAGGCCACCCTAGACTAGTGTGGCATAGAGGCCCTCACCACTCCAGAAGTAGTTGGCTGCATGCTGGGAGGTAGAGTTCATGGTTCCCTGGCTGGTACTGGAAAAGTGAAAGGTCAAATTCCCAAGGTGGCCAAACAGGAAAAAAAAAAAAACAAACAACAGGACCGGCCAAGCAGCCAGTGCTGTACAACCGTGGCTTTGTCAACATCGTGCCCACGTCTGGCAAGAAGAAGGGCCCCATGCTAATTCCTAAAACCTATTGTGATTCTGGCACTCTAATAAAGCCACTTTGGCCAGGAAAAAATTTTGCTTTTGTCAGGCAGTGGAAGACACCTTTAATCCCAGCACTCAGGAGGCAGAGGCTGGCAGATCTCCGAGTTCAAGGCCAGCCTGGTCTACAAATTGAGTTCCAGAACACCCAGGGCTGTTATTCAGAGAAACCCTGTCTTACAAAATAAATAACTAAATAAGAAATAAGAGGCTGACTTGTAGACTCTGCCTCCCGAGGGCTGAGACTAAAGGCATGCGCCACCACAGCCCGGCAACTGCTTTTTTTTTTAATTTTCAATTTTTTTAAAGATTTATTTATTATGTATACAGCGTTCTGCCTCCAGGCCAGAAGAGGGCACCAGATCTCGTTACAGATGGTTGTGAGCCACCATGTGGTTGCTGGGAATTGAACTCAGGACCTCTGGAAGAGCAGCCAGTGCTCTTAACCTCTGAGCCATCTCTCCAGCCCCAGCTGCTTTTTTTTTTTTTAAAGATTGTTTTAAAGTTTATTTTATGTTTGTATGAGTACCTACAGGGAAGTTTTTTGTTTTGTTTTGGCTTTTGGTTTTTCGAGACAGGGTTTCTTTGTGTTGCTTTAGAGACTGTCCTGACACTCTGTAGACCAGGCCAGACTCAAACTCACAGAGATCCATCTGCTTCTGCCACCCGAGTGCTGGGACTAAAGTATCTTACACAGTGGATACAGTGCCCACAGAGCCCAGGAGAGGGTGTTGCATCCCCTGTTGCTTGAATTGACCAAATTGTGAACTCCCTGATGTGAGTGATGAAAAGGAACCCTGGTCCTCTGTGCAATAACAGCCAGTGCTCTTCACTGCTGAGGCATCTCTCCATCCCTCTCCACCTTATAGCAAGCTCTAGGTAGGCATCCTTAGTATGAAGATATTTTTAATCAAACTTTCACCTAAGAGCACCTGTGACAACAACCCAAATATATCAAAGAACAGTAAAACATACACACACACACACACACAAAAACAGAACAAGAACACAAGTCTTGACTTTAAAGAGAAAATAGAACTCAGAAACTGAAGCTTCGTGAGGTCAAAAAAAAAAAGGTCACTCTTCAAAGAGGTAAATGCCATGGTTTCCAACTTCCCTTGGTTTAATGTTCTCTTTATATTCAACTCCTTTGGAATAATCTTGGTTTGTTGACCTTGGCACAGTGGTTTGATTTGTTTAAATCAATCTTTCTTTGAACTTTGGCCTGTTTAAGCAACAGCTGTGTGTTCAAATCTTAAAAAGTACATAACCTCGTTGGTTAAATCAGTTAAATAGCTATAAATAGTTTGCTCATAACTAAATAATTTTGTTTCACCCCTATATTTCTCTGTTGCTATTACTAACCCCAAACTATGGTTAAATCTCTGAACATTTTTTATGTTTTCAATTAATAACTTGGAGAAGCCAGGCAGACAGATTAAAGCACGAGCCTTTAATCCCAACATTGTGAGTTCAAGGCCAGCCTAGTCTATAGAGCTAGTTACAGGACAGCCAAGGCTACACAAGGAAACTCCATCTGGAAAAACAAAAACAAAAGAAATTTGCTGATACTCATAAGTAGACTGAGGCTCACAATAGGCTCTTTTGCCTGAGTACTCAGAATTGTTAGATTATCAGATGATGAAATCAATATTTCCAGGAAGGGGCTAGAGAAGAGACTAGGAAAAGTGCTCGATGCCAAGTCTCATGACATAAGTTCGATCCCAGGAACTCTCATGGTGGAAACAACTCCCTGCAAACTTTTCTCTGACCTCCAAGAATCCATAGTCATACACGCAAACGTACATGCGCGTGCGTGCGCGCACACACACAGGCACACACTTGAGAAAAATATTTTTTTAACATTTTTTGTGTCTTTTACATCATGCGTCTCCATCACATTCATTTCTCCTCCCTTCTTATCCACCCTCTACCCTTGCAACCTCCCCCTAAAATAAAATAAAATAAAATAAAGAGAAGAAAAAGAAAAAATCTCATCACGGAAGCTGTGGTATCACACAGAGAGCCATGCAGTAAACCCTTTTATCCATATATCTTTACTTGCAAGTGTTCACTGCAGAGTTACTGGCCTGGGTCGAGGCCTCCGGTCTCTGCCACACTGTCAGTGCTGCGCTTCCCTGGAACTCCTGTGGGTTATCCTGCTGTTGCCCTGTGTCATGGAGATCCTGCAGCTTTGGGTGTGCTGGACCAGT